TTATTCAGCACACCATCCTTGCTTATGACATTCTGCTTCAACTTTAATCTACTTAAGAAATGAAGTGTTAATTATTTAAAGTGTTAATAAAATGATAATTAAATATTGCAGGATATAACAGATGTTATATAAAAATGGGCTGGCTACCTAACTTGAGACGTTATTATTGGGGGTTGCCTTGACACAAATAATGATACGCTGCTCTGCCCTCTTATTCCAGTAAATTATTCAGTTAGATGGAGATTTCTGTCAGGTGCAAAACAGAAATTGTTGTTCTTTTTCACATTAACAACCTTGTTGTTGTGCTTAAGGACCTATTTCTTAGTTTAAATTTTATTCATAAAAGAGTGTTGGTATTCCCCGCAGCAGCCAATCACAGGAAGGTATTTCTGGAAGCTCGGCCTCCTTATGGACCCAGCACATCGCTCTAGCTCATGGCTCTCTGTTTCATCTCTTGTATATACAAACTATGACTTTTTTCGATTACTGTTATAATTAATAATATGAGATATAAAAGTTTTTGCACAAAATGGCTAAATTCTGCCATTAAATGGACTTTGTCTGGTATACTTACAAACATATAACATAAGATATAAATAAATAATAAATAAATAAACATACACCAATTTATTACCATTCATCCATTATTAATTTCGAATGTAATGTTTACTGTCTAGTTTTTTCCTCTCGCCATTACTTGGTGCAATATTTGAAAGTTGTCTATTTATTTATCGATCTATCTATTATCTTGTATTTATATTTACAAGTTTCTGTGCTTGGAAGAAAACTCTGCATTAAATTGGGACTAATTTATTAAATAATATTATTTAGTATTAATTAATATTTACAATTATTATTAATTACAATTATTTATAGCTTAGTTACTTTCATGTAACTCGCAATCGTACATTCTTAACTTTAATAGCCCAAATTAGAACATCTTGCTTTTAAATTAGCCCAAAAAGTAGCAAGTAGCGAAATTAAAAAATTGGGAGCGCGGCTCTCAAAAGTAGCCCAATCTGGCACCACTGTGTCTGAATTCTTCCTGCCAGCAAAGTTTAGGCTACAATAACAGTACAAAACTAGATTAAGGTCTTGCCTGCAACACTATATGCGTGTTAGTGGCTTTGTAAGAATGTAAGAACATCAATGTTATGTACTCCCACAAACCGAATGTACCTTTATATATATATATATATATATATATATATATATATATATATATATATATATATATATATATATATATATATATATATATATATATATATATATATGTTGTACCTAGTAGCCAGAACGTCGTACTCGGCCTGCTATGCAAGGCCCGATTTGCCTAATAAGCCAAGTTTTCTTGAATTAATATATTTTCTCTAATTTTTTTCTTATGAAATGATAAAGCTACCCATTGCATTATGTATGAGGTCAATTTTTTTTATTGGAGTTAAAATTAACGTAGAAACGCGTCGGTGTTTCTTCCATGCTGCATGCTTACATTGGACAGCCCGAGCACAGTCCACCAGGGAACGCACTTCCATGTGCCCCGGGAGGTAGAGCGAGGAATAGAGCAGAGGGCAGCGTCGAAGACGGTGTCATGAAAAAGGAGGAGGGTGTGAGGAAGAGGCAGGCAGGAAAGGTCAGAGTAGCACGGAGGGTGAATAGGTTCCAGTCAGCTTTGGCAAACTGCCACCTAGGAAAGGAGAGGGGAGGGTGAAAAAAGAGAAAAAAAGGAAACAAGGATGGGGAAATGGTCACTGTTATGGAGGTCAAGAACCCGCCACGTGAGATCTAAGTAAAGGACGATGAGCAGAGAGAAAGATCAAGACTGGAAAGGGTGCGAGTTCGAGAGTCCACATGGGTGGGCTCACCAGAATTCAGAAGAGACGGGGAAGAAGAAAGGACGAACGATTCGAGAAGGCGGCCTCGGGTGTTTGTCAGATCATCACCCCAGAGGGTATGTCGACAGTTGAAATCACCCAACAGGAGCACCGGGTCAGGCAAGGAGTCCAGGAGGTGCTTAAGATCAGGAAGGTAAAGTGGGACATTTGGAGGGAGATATATGGAACAGACTGCATACCATTTACTCACAAAAACACGGGCAGCAGGACAAAGGATAGGCGATGGAAACAGTAGGGGGGACGAATGGAATATCAGTATGAATCAAGAGAGCAGTAGAGTTATGGGCCCCAGCAAGAGCTGAGGGAGAAGAAAGGAAGGAATAACCACGAAAGCGACCAGGACGAGAACCAAGCATCAGTTCCTGGAGACAAACACAAAGTGGTGAAAACTGTGTAATCAGAAGTTGGAGTTCATGAAAGTTGGCATAAAATCCACAAATATTCCATTGAAGAATAGACATTATCAAAAAGAGAAAGGACAGCAACAGAGAACAATGAAGAAACAAAGGTAAAGAAGAACACAGTATATTAAAGAGGCTCAGGATCAGGATCAGGGGCAGGGTCAGCAAAATCAGGGTTAGGGGGCATGGGTAAACTTAGTAAGGATGGAGGGAAGGGAGCGGGAGGACAGACTAGAGCCAGACGGACAGGGTCCGGAGGAGGGGGAGACAACCGAGAGGGACAGTCAAGGACAGCAGGAGGGGGGGCAGAAACCGGGGAGCACCCCTCAGCAAGGGCAGCAACCGAGAGGGAATTGGGGGTGGAAAAAACCTCCATAGCTGGGACAGGGGGCCTGACCACCGAAATGGGAGGGGGCATAGCGACAGAGTCAAAGTTGGGGGGCGACGAAGAAAGCGATGCCTTCTTACCCGCTGGGGAGGATGAAGGAGAGGAGCCAGGCTTACATTTCTAACTCAAAGAGAGAGGTGTTCCAGCAACAACGTACAGTACTGGGCGACAGACTAAATGGCCTCGGGCGGAGAAGAAAAACTTGAGTGAACAACATGAAGATCACTGGGATGATGATAGACATCAGCCTGGACAGACAGGCGGCATGGAGGGCCAAGAGGCTGTGGGGAGGGTTGGGAAGAAGGCAAAGAAGACACAGGAGACATGGCAGACAGGGTAGGAAGTAGGGAAACTCGAGAAGAAAAATCAGGAGGGAGACCTTCCGGGACAGGACGTAAAGGAACAGGGGAGGAGGTGGTGGGCGTGTCCGGGTCCAAGGCCTGGAAACAGTTGAGGGATTGAGGAAGGTGGGAAGGATGAGAAGAGAATGAATGCAATACGCGAGCATAAGATACGCCAGTGAAAGGGTGGAGACGGCGGACTTGGCGCCTCGCCTCAGGAAAAGTCAAACGATCCCGGTGTTTCAAGTTGAGGACTGCTTCCTCAAGCTTGTAGTGGATACACGTGCAGAAGAAGGCAGCGAGCCTGAGGAGATGGGTAATGTGTCTTAGAGTGGCTATCGTCCCCACACATGGGGCATAGAGAAACAAGACTTGTGCATTTCAGGGCGTGCCCGAACTTCCAGCACTTATTACAAAGTCTAGGAGAGGGAATGTACACCTGAACGGAGCACCTGGCACCAGCAAGAATGATAGAGGGCGGAACGGTCCTACTATCAAAGGTGATTTTCATAACTCGAAGGGGCTGATGGCGGCGACCACGAGGGGGTCGAGTGAACATGTCCACCTGGAGGACAGGATGGCCTTGGGCTTCGAGGATATGTTTAATATCCTCATGGCAGTCTTTTCAGGTCAATAACACCAGTTGCAACATGGTGCGGGAGGTGAATGGTGCCAACACTGGCAATTAACCGAGCGTTTTTTGAGACCCGAACAGGGGTCTCCCCAATGCAGGACAATACGGCTAAGTGGGTAGCTGCATCCGGTGAAGGAGCAGCGACGACACGTGTACCGAAATGGGTGGGGTTAAAAGTAACAGAGGCATCCACCGAATCAACAAGGTGTTTATGGATGGAGAAATCGTCGGGTGTAGAATCCAGAGGGAGGAGCTCAAAGTATTTAGCCCATGAAGCAGGACCAAGCAAGGCTTGGTACGTATTAGTATGGGAAGGGATCATGCGAATGCGGCCGTGGTGGGGACGGCATTGAGAACCCCCAGAAAAAGAGGGTTTAAAAAGGAGCAATAGTTACAATGAGAGACCGAGCCATGCCAGGGAACGAGGTGGTCACCACTGGGGGCGTGTGGCTCGACCCAACCAGAGGAGGAGGGAGGGGAGTCAGGGGGAAGAAGTCAGGAGGGTCAAAGGAGAAGCTAGGTCTGGGTCCAATGTAGCAGGGGCTACAGAGCCCGGACTTCCAACACAGTCCAACTCGGGGGCTTGGTCGCCCACCCCATGAGCCTAAGAAGTTATAAGAGGAACAGTATTCAGCAACATGGAAACAAGAGGTAATACTTTCATTCACGAATGTGCCCCCGTACCCACCACGGAGCCACAATTAGAGGATAGGACACCCAACAAGAGACATGTTGCCGATCTTGCCGGGCCCCCCCAGGGGTGCGTCGTAAGTATATGCCCCACAATCGCCACCTTAAGAACCGTCAGTCTGTCAAGATCGGGTTCAGCGACGTAAGAAGGATTTACAATAATAGGGTCCCCTCGCTCGAGACATTGGTACTACAGTTCTATGGGTGAGAGAGTATGGCTCCCCAAACACCCGGGCATCAAAACAGAAGAAGTCCGAAAGAATAATCAAGACTGGCAAAAGGTCGGCAGGAAATGATAATGAGAAAGGAGAAAAGGGGGAGAGGAAAATGAAACACAAGGAAAATGAAAAGATTTCTGGCACAATTGGTGAAGACAGCAGCAGGAGCATAAGGCTTCAAAAGGACAGAGGACTGATTCATGGAGCATCATACTCCGGCAGCCGCCTACCAAGCCCCCTCACGACAACAACGGGCCAGAAAGGTAAGGGGGGCTAAGAAATAAGATTGCTGGCAGTTTGGTGTTGGCACTGGAATTATTTTAAACATAAGAAAGCCAAGGAACAGTTTGGTGGCAAAGACAGAAAAAATTATTAGGGGCTCAAATTTCTATGAATCTGATCAGCCAATTTAAAAGGTAAGTAAAAAAAATCCTTTTTATCACATAGTATTTGTATTACTATTATAATACAAAATCATTGTATATTTTTAGACAAATAATATCTAAATAAAGTTGTGTTCTATCAAATGGTACAAGAAAACTCACTAAAATGGTTGCACTGGAATTAAACAAAACTATCAGACACAACTTATGATATAAAATTCAATCACCAAATGCTTACACTGAAACAGTCGGTGTTTCTGTGAAATAGTTCCAAGGTAAGGTATAAAGAGAAGCTTCTCATCTGCTGTATATACACAATCATAGATAATCATGGAAAAGATTTCCAGGTCACACAAAACCATTCACCAAACAAAGACATGGTGCGAGTCTTTGACAAACGCCTCATTCCAATGACGGAAAGATGACCCCATTGGTGGGAGAAGTTGGGATCAGCGGTAATCATCATCAGAATTATGTTGGGATTCAGGCCTGTTGCCAAGAACTAGAACAAATTACCATGTTCAGTGTTATGCTTTCACAAGAACACAATATGTAGATCATTTTATATCCAGGTCCACATGCCTGCGAGGGAAGGAGTGGAGGAATCATGTTATTCAAAACACTACACTGTCACAAAGGATGCCACACATGGTGCCACACAGGGAGGGCCACTTTCTAGAGTAACGCTTGCCAATCACACTAATATAAAAAGATAAACAATACTATTACCATCATCTCAGAATACATGGATCATATGGTTTACACAGAAAATAACGTGCAAATATTTTTACATAAAACTTATGCAGTTCATACAATAATATATATTAAACCTCATATATCACATACAAAATCAAATAATAAGTAGGACCATAACCCTCTACCGTATATCACAAATGCTAATAATTTACATAAAATTACTAGGAAAATATAGTTTCTATAATATGGTAATCATAATATCCTTGTCAGTACTAAAAGAGATAAAACTCTTAAACCAAGGAACATGCACCCTGACCGCAGTGATGGCAGTGTTTCCTTGTAAAGTACGCTGGTGCATGTCGTCATCACATTCATAAGCCCAACATCATTTCTGCACTGCAGCCTTAATAAAGACACTAAATATAATCCAACACTGAAGTCGAGTGTTGCATTTAATTAATAATGACAAAAATGGAGCACACCGTCATACACTTGAGACAAGTGGAACACGAGAGGGGATGCCACTGGTCACAGTGTTATGCCTCCAGGTTATAACCAACTGTTTTCTTGTAACCACAGACAGTTTTCCACTGATGTTCCTATGGGCAAGAAAATAAGTGAGGGAGGGAGGGAAGTATTAAAGGAGGAAAGTGAGTAAGGGAAGAGAGGCAGTGAGGCGAGTTAGGACAGAGAGGGAGGGAGGGCAGGAGGAAGAGAGGGCAGGAGAGAGGGAGGAGAGTAGGGGGATAAGATAAGGTAGCATGTAGTACATCCATAAGACTGAGCCATATACCTGTCTGGATAATGTCCTCACAACAAGCATGAATAACTATACAGCATACCAGGAATCACGAGGCTCTTTTACTCCTCACAGGATTTCAATATGTATAATTTTACTACTAACATAATAGAAAGTTATTTGTACACTAAACAAACTCATATAATTCCTATGAAATTGCAAAGCAGCCACTACTACCAGATGTATCTCTGCCCCAACAATAAATTTAAGCGAGTCATTTAATCCAGTGTAACTTCAAAACAATGACTTAACGTCTCATATGTCAATTCCTCCTATACCCTTTTGTATGTGCCATTGTCCACACGTGACTGGGGAGACCCAAGTCTGGCAAAAATGGATTTAATTCATGGTTGTGACATAACAGTTATTAGATCTATGCTCACCAGAGACAACAAGGACCAGATCTGTGCCAGCCAGAGCCATGGCAGTGTCCAGATCTGTGTCCACCAGACATATGACAATGACCAGGTCTATGCCAACCAGAGACATGACTCCTCACAAGATGCGATGGCTGAGTGCATACCACTGACCCTAGGGATGGAAGTCAGGAATATTACAGCCTCAAAAATAGTCACATTTCATCACACATCCCAATAACCCACAAACAAGCCTATCCAGAGACTGAATACTATCCTGCTAACTTTCTCCTCCTGTAATTACATCTTATTAATCACTGTTTATCATTATTGTCTTTTAAAGATTCTTACACTAACAAATTGGTCCAAGGGGATATGCAAAGACAATATTGGAATAACTTAACATAAAAAACTCTTTCTTTGGAAAGTAACATTTAGGAAACTCTTGCACAAGACGTGAATAAAAATTATAAAAAATAGATCTCTACAAAACTTACAGGATTCTCGAGACTTTGCTCAACTGTATATAATTGTCTTGTGACATGTGTGTACAATGTGTGGTACTCTGAACATTCAAAGCTTCCAGCTTAGTGCTATCATAGAGTTAAAATAGTGCATAAACCAAGTGCAAATTCACAAACATTCACACCCGTATACATTCAGTCAACTCTACATCTATCCATTTCAGAAATTTTATCATTTAAGAAAATTTATAAAAATTACAACATTTTTAGCAAAATCTATAGTTTATGACAAACTTTCACAAGCATTATACAGCATATAAAAGTATAATACAGATATCAACAAACTATTCAAAAATTAACAAAAGTTACAAGACAAGCCTGCACACAACAGGTAAGGGAGACTGTGGCGCACGTAGCTAACTGCGTGAGAGTCTGAATGTGTATAGCTCCATGGGCTGCAACGACAGTGTGTACGACTTAGTCATATCCACTCCTTCGTACAGCATTGACAGCGACATCTGGTGCACCTGCTCACTAAAGATGTTGGGAAACAGCTCCGACAAGCGCACCTGCAGAGACAAGCAATTCAATATCTGAAATATGTCCATCAGCTGCAGTTTAAATGCAGTTTTAAGTTTTGCTTTATTTAAATATTCCCAAGTCTTACTCTACTTAAATATCCTTCAGTCTTGCTCTCCTTTAAATTAAAATTCAGCCTTCACTTAAATCTGTCTTTATCATCACTACCCTGTCTTCCACTTCCATGTGGTAGGAAGACATTTGCTCAGACAACAGAAGAGCAGTATAGTAAAGGAAAATATAAAAAAAATATTAGAAAATGACACCCTACCTAATTGTCATGTCCCTTTAAACATCACAGAGAATCAGCACCATTACACTTCAGTAAATAAATTAAGGCAGCACCTATCTGGTTCAATAAACTAGGTGAAAAAATCAAGAGATGTTTTATACATCACTGTATAAACATGTACAAGAAACCCACTCAATCTTAAACTGCTGTCACTTTCCCTTCTGGTATTCTAGCTTAGTTCTAGCATCATGTGTTATGTCTGGTGAAGGCAGTTCATTGCTACCTTCGTGTCACCGATTCTGCTTCAGTGGATTCCTTATCGATTAATCCAGGTACTTTGGTCCCCTGTTCCATGTTTCATCTTTTTCAGGTCATCCACAGTGTAACTAAATCTAACCAGGCAGTCCACCCTCACACCCATGATGTTTCGAAAAATGCCGCACTCTCGGCTGTTTTTTGTGAATACGTCCCCAAGTCGATGTGTAGATGTGAGGGTTTTGAAGGTCGAGCATGGTTCTGGTGGCCCGGTATTTGTCAATGTGCCTGGGCACATTCTGTCTTTTAAGGGGTGTCGGTGGATCAGTAAGTAGAGCGGCTGGTTACTGTCTGTGTCTTAGGTTAGAAGCTCACGAGTGTCCAGAGCCACATACCATGGAGGAGTGTGTGGTTTGTTTGTGAAATGGGCCCTGCATATGAGGACAACCCACTTTACTACTATGAGCAATTCAACTACAGTACTAGCCTCTAAATGGTTCTAACCTTTCCTCCGTTGGTTGAACATGACAACCCTGGGGACTTAAAACCACAATCAAAGCCAAGACGATGGAGAGTGAGCGATGACACGGGTCCAGGTGGATGAGGGACCAAGTGGGAGGTTTGACCAACAGTGGCACGCGGTGGGTCCAGCATAGTGCGCAGGTTTACTAAGTGTACGTCACAAGGCAATGCCCCGCCTATGTCCCAGGAAGGCTGCATGGGACCAACCTGCCAAAAAAAACAAGACAATGCCATTTCATCAAATCAAGATATTCATCAAATCAAAAAGATATACAGTACAGTACTATATATCAAAATGATTTCCTCAATGATTTTCAAAAAATAATTTGTTATTGCCTTTCATTAGTTTTCAGGAAATTCTTGCCAGTATCATCTGTGCTGCCATACACAGTATACAGACACTACATGCAAAAACAGTAAGGTGTCAATTAAATCCCCCCACCCCTAGGCCACAACTCATCTTGCCAAGAGTGCAACCCACAACAGTTGCCCGTCTCCCAAGCACCGACCTACAGCTAAGTGAACACAGGCATCATAAATAGTAGGCTTGGTACAAAATCTTGGTACCCTAACCATAGAAAAAAATTGAGCTGACCATAAATTAAATTTATGATTTTATATTTTTGTTATTTTTACTTTAAATTTAAACTAATTAATTTAATCTAGTATTTTTAGGTCTTTTGGCTGAATCAAGCTTTTATCATTGGAGGGATATAAATTAACTAAAACCACAAATGACCTAGAAACAATTATGATGGCTTATTTAATGCTGAGTCTTTTATAAGCATGGAGGAAACCATGAAAATAGAAGGCTTTGAGTTTAGGTTAAAAATGCCATTCTATGCAACCCACTCAGTTGTTCCCATAGGCAATATCCCATTCTCTCAAAGTCATGGCAAAGATAAGCTTTAACTTTTTGAATTGTGGTATTTATTAATTGACGTAAATAATTTATATAGTGTAAACAGTTTCTCAGTATATCACGACTTCTCTCATCATGCATCTGTAGTCTTCTCCTTAACTCTTGTCGTCTCAATACTAAGACACCATAACAAAAAAAATCATAGAGGCCTGAATTTGGTCAAATTATTCAACATAAAAGTTTAGTAAAGAATATATTTAGTTTTTTCAATACTATACTTGCCTTTGCTGTTGGAAGAAGTGGGTAGAGAGGATACAGCAGGCTATGGAGTCCGGCATGAGCTAAGAGTGATGGGTAGGCTGGTGACTTCTGATGGCCTGAGCCAGGTTCCTGCGGCAGAACTTTATCTATCAAAGAGTGAGCTTGGCCTCAGGCCGGGCTCAGGGAGTAGAAGAACTCCTGAAACCCTCTCCAGGTTAGATCTAAAAATCCCCAGATTTCATCGAATTTGGTAGAGCAGAGTTAAATGCAAACATTTTAAGTAAATACCCAAAACAGCATCAGATTTACAAATACAATGGAGTCTTAAATTGTTTCTAAGTCAAAGAGTGTATTTTTAAGTACTGTACATATAAACTTAGGGTTCAGTTGTAGTTCAAAGTCTGGTTTTGAGTATTCTGACATCATTATAACCCATCAAATATAGACCTCTGTCAATACAAGCCTCTGCAGTACATATTGTGATCTTATTTATATTTGTTTTCTTATCTACAAGAAAGTACAGTACAGTGGATTGAGAAAATACATTCAGTGATGACTAAGTGATCAGAGCATTCTCAAAAATTTATGCACATCAAATTTATAGTGTTTTTGGCCATCCAGAAGTAAAACCACCTGACTTATTAAGGCTGAAGCTCATTAGCTCCAGGAAGTTTTGGCACTATACTGTGTTGTGGTGAATTTCATTTCAAAACACCACCAACCATTTTTAAGTTTATGTCCAAGGTGTACAAATTATGCTGCACTAAGTGTGAGAACAGGTTAACAGAGCACACAAGCCAAAATTAAACTGAGAAATATAAATTGGTATTTACTATTTACTTAAAACCCTGTGAAAATGATGGTCATTTTGTGGACATCGATACAGTGAGAGATGTAACTGAAGCAAAGAGCATGAGAAACTTCCAGCAGTTGCCAGTAATGCAACCAGTGTGGAGTCCTGCACCCCATGCTTGACCTCAACCCCTGTGTGTAGCCGTGCACCAACCCCTGTGTTTTCCCGTGCACCAACCCGTGTGTAGCCGTGCACCAACCCCCGTGTGTAGCCGTGCACCAACCCCCGTGTGTAGCCGTGCACCAACCCCCGTGTGTAGCCGTGCACCAACCCCCGTGTGTAGCCGTGCACCAACCCCCGTGTGTAGCCGTGCACCAACCCCCGTGTGTAGCCGTGCACCAACCCCTGTGTGTAGCCGTGCACCAACCCCTGTGTGTAGCCGTGCACCAACCCCTGTGTGTAGCCGTGCACCAACCCCTGTGTGTAGCCGTGCACCAACCCCTGTGTGTAGCCGTGCACCAACCCCTGTGTGTAGCCGTGCACCAACCCCTGTGTGTAGCCGTGCACCAACCCCTGTGTGTAGCCGTGCACCAACCCCTGTGTGTAGCCGTGCACCAACCCCTGTGTGTAGCCGTGCACCAACCCCTGTGCCCCTGTTTGTAGCCGTGCACCAACCCCTGTGTGTAGCCGTGCACTTCATGCTTGGCCTCAAACTACCCAGTGACCAAAAACATTTTTGAAAATCAATTTAGACTGTATGGTATGGCATTTAACCTTAATGTTTTTCTTTATTATAGGTCTACTTACCAGTATAATCATTACAGTACAATGAAGAGCCTATCAAGATTCAAGACCTACATGAATCTGGAACTTGTTAATTAAGACCTCAAAAATACACAGTGTAGATATAAAGTTGCAATAACTTAATTGACTTAAATTACGAGTCAAACCTTAGTGGTAATGCGGGGCTCCAACAAGAGACGGAAAGTGCTAGATGTGAGAACGTTGTCTTGCACGCCCTGACCTACACCCCGATTGTCGTCTTGCATCAGGCGCCGGTCCAGCATTATCTGTTAATGTACAGTATATATTTGTTCATATTTTTCTCATATCTAATATAAAATATATAGAACTTACCACTGAAACAAAACAAATACAAAGGAGTCAGAACCAAGAAGGTGATACCAGATGCAGGGAAAAGCACACAGGGAGAGAGAGAGGGGGGGTGAAGGTGTAGAACGAACCCCCCTAGCCCTGTGCATCACAACGAGACCAACCCTAGAGCATCCAAATGATCGCCATGCTGCCAGCCCAACAACGAGAAAACTAAATCTATATGTCGCAGCTGCCAAGAACCTTCATGAAAAGAGGGAGGCTGAAAGTGTAGAGACCAAAAACACACAAGATGCAGGAGCTCTGCATGCCACTGAAGATGCCACTGGAGTCATATATTCCAACAGGCAACACGGTGGAGGCAGAGAATGACTAAAAAGAACAGCACCAGTGAGCAGCCTACAAATTCGAACTGAGCGAGGGTGGGTTTGGGATGGCAATCCAGTAGGACCAAATCGAAACACCACAGGGAAATTAACAGGGGCTTGAAGTGCATGAACCAAAAAACACACACACGAGGCACCAGGGTCTAGGAGGGGGCCGCAGCATGCAAAGTAAAAAAACATTTGAACCCCAGTGCATCCCAACACAATCAAGTAACACCCCCTAAATCAATGACCCAGACATAGGAATCATAGATTCCTGAAAGCCCATGGCAAGATTCCCCACCAAAGCAGTCAGGCCTCTCAGGGGCGAATATCGTAACTCACCAGAGAAGGGAGGCTCTGTCTGTGCAAGAGGGAAGCTAATGGAAGAGGAGAGGAAGAGAATGCTAAACAAAGCAGCCCGAAACCCCAAATAAGCCAAGCCCACGCAACAAATGGTGATCAAAATATGCACGTGAAGCCTACACTAAAATGGAAATCAATACACAAAGCAAATAACACCCATAAGACAACCAAGTCCAAGGATGGCTGGCACTTGGCTTGAAGCATTGGGGCTTGCTCACGAACTGGCATGATGAGAAGCACTTCAAGTTGGTGTGGGGACACATACATTAAGACCAGAATTAACATGGGGAGCTGGCTGGGGACCAGGTCTCCCAGTCATGGTAATTGGTACTAACAAGCTCGAGTTCTTTTGAGTGAATCCCGTATTTCGTTAGGACTTGTTTGCAGTACTGTATTGTAGTTATCCGACAGTTTTGAGGCTTTGTTTTCTGTGAACTCTCCAGGTACCTGTAAAGCAGTGCCAACTTTCAGGTGACTTCTTTTGGCGAGGTGGTGGATTGTAACTTACTCTCTGCACCTCTGTGGAATAGGCCAGGTTCTGGGTCTGGTCCCCAGTAGGAGAAACAGCACTAACTGTAACTGATGTCACCTTTTAGTATGAAGCAATCTCAGGAAGATAGCTTCAGGGAGCCACAAGGGGCTCCCTCCAGAAATTCCAAGTTTGCTCCTAGAACTTAAAATGATGTTCAAGCTGCTCACATATCCAGTCACAGGGGTCAACTTAATCTATCGAGTTACAAAGCTGCATATATTTATTACAGCCGAACTGTGACAACCCATGTTATTAAAACAGCAAGGACAATTACCTCTAGTTGGCCACTCGCCAGGGACCCACCACCAAGAGGCTGGGCACTCAGCACTGAAAAACGATTCTCTTCATCCTGAATGAATGCCTGTGATGGAATAGGGTAGTAGTTCGCTTGTATGGGTAGCTTGTCGTACCTCACTCGTTTAGTAATCTGGCAGAGAGATACAAAAATCACAATGATATTCTTTCACTGGTACACTTTTCTGTACAATATTCTAAATAACATCTGTGGTGAAGAAGTACTACTTCAAGATTAATTTACATAATTAACTTAAGTATGGCAACCCCTAATCTATAAAAAGTTAAATTTTTAGGCAAATACCTAGCTATGTTTACCTAATATTCTCATTTCAAAAAATTGCTACATTAAATAAAACTGTAAAGGTAACTGTTGTGCACCAGCAAACTACAGATACACTATATGATTATCCCCAAATGCTTAAGAATGGATAAAATAATTACCAAGCTCAAGATACCTTGTACCTATAGTTCCAAAGCTTTTAATAATTGCAAAACCAAATTAAAATTAATAACAGTTAGCATTTTTCACCACATACACTTTTTATTTATAATAACCACCATTAACCAATAACCATTAAAATATAATTTTCCACTTGCATGGCAATGTAACATGACAGGCAAGAACAGTAGGAAAAGAGACAGTAACACAAGTACATTACTTTGCCACACTGTACATTAGAGCCACCATTACTATTATAATCTCTATTAGATAACTGACGTCAGATTTGATATTGTAAAGGAAAGGCAGTTGAAAGCAACAAAGATATTATGTTAGTGCTTTATGATGCACTCTTACTCGACTACATACTAACCTGGAAGCCATTCAAGTCAGTGTAGAACACATTGTCATTCTTAACTGGTGTGTTGAGTCGCATGACAAACTCATAGTTGTGCTCCAGTTTGATGTCCACCAGATTAATGATGTCTATACCCATACCATCTACACCTGTTGGGCAAGACAACAATTCACTAACCCCTCAAACCAGTATTCTCATCTACAAAGGTCAACATATATTGCAAACACTAATAAATCTGTTTAAACAATACTGTACTGAAATACTGTCAGGCATCCGAGTTGTGCATATAGCAGTTGTTAAAACCCTATATAACAAAATAAACTAGTCTAATAAAGTTGTCAGAGAATAACAATAAGAACAACATTTAGATATTATGCTATGACAGCCAGTCAGTCAAGGACTGCTTCCTCCTTATGTCAGGCCGCTTGTTATGACAGCCAGTCAGTCAAGGAATGCTTCCTCCTCATGTCAGGCCACTTGCTATGACAGCCAGGCAGTCAAGGAATGATTCCCTCTTATGTCATGTCACTTGCTATGACTGCCAGTCAGTCTAGGACTGCTTCCCTCTTATGTCAGGCTGCTTGCTATGACAGCCAGTCAGTCAAGGAATGCTTCCCTCTTATGGCAGGCCACTTGCTATAAAATATTAAATATTCTTAAAACTGTAAATGAAGACAATCTCATTACACACACCATCACCCCCACCTCACCTCCCACTTTAATGCCGGAGAAGGAATCAGTCTGGGGAAAAAGGTGACCAATATGGAGGAAGACAGTTACTGATATACTCACCCAATCACCATACACAAGACTACTGATACTCTCACCTAATCACCATACACAAGATTACTGATACTCTCACCTAATCACCATACACAAGGTGATTATTCAGCATGCTAATCTGGAATCAAATATTTCTTAGGCGATTCAACAATGTTTACAAGTACTTTTAGCATTACATTGATATCAGAAGATCCAGGAACAGGTTCTGAATGTGGCAATGGAAGGAAGGGAAGCATCGAGTATCAACACACTGCTACTGATATATGATTTTAATATTATGCAAGGCTGATCTGCCATGTATTGGTAAAAGCATGTAATACATGTGTGGAAGCTTCCCAAGAGTAGCACATACCTGGAGAGTTCTTTACTTTCACCGTATGGAGGATATTCTTGAGTCGAGTTGACACGGTGGAGATAATAGGTCCCTGGATGAGCACCACTGCAGGCTGGCCTACAGGGAGTGGCACTGCCTCCTGGTCAGGCAAGAATAGGTATGCTCCAGCAGTTTCACGATGATTTCTGAGATGCGGTATATTTCATAAGTCAGCGTTAAAACATTTTCTCGAGTCAGTCCCTCAGTTAATCCCCAAGCCTGTAACTAGAGCCACCAGACACACCATTCACACACCTGGCTCTAAGATGACCATCATCCAACAGTATCACCTAGCTTTGAAATAGTCTTGCTATAGTGTTAAGGCAGGGAGACAGTAGACAGAGTGATCCACCGAATGACCACTCACTATAAGACATAAGAACATACGGTAATAATTCCACTCGACACCCTTTGCAAGTGATGAACAAAAGGAAGAAAAAGCAACTTCTCATACTATAAGAGCAATACATTGCAAGTGTGGCAATTGTTGCTACTCTTATGACATAACATACTGTGCTTGTATGGTGCTTATGTACATGGAAACTGTACATAAGCTGTATATATGGGACTGTATATATGGAAACTGTACACAGAGACTGATGTTTTAACCTAACAAATTGAGTAAAGTTCTTCCATATCAAATATTCCAGGTACTGTATCATTCAAGTAAAAAATGAACAAAAGAATATTTTCATTAAACATATTCTTCCCAAAAGTATTTCAAGCAATAGCAAATAAAAGTATATAACAGTGAATAAAAGCAATAGGAGTCTTACCTGACTCCATATTTGACAAACTCCAGAGAGACTGGCATGGTGCGCCCTTGAGTTGTCATGGACTGCAAAAGGCCACTGCTACTGAACGTGGCTTGAACTTGATTATTGTGCAGTGTGAATGATCCTGTGCTGCTCTCCTCAACGGCACTAAAAACTTTGGGCACAGATGGAGCAGCCATTCCACGCACAATCACCTTCCCATAGCTCACCAGCCTGGAGAGTACATTTAAAAGATTGATTTGCCTCAAGAAAAATACAATGCATTGACAAATACAATTCTGTTTATGGTTCACAAGGTGTGGGTTCCATGCCGGAGCTGCATACTCAAGTAATAGTCTCACATAGGGAATGTACATGGACTTGAAGGTCAACTTAACTATTATCAAACTTAATTATATTATTATTATTATTATATTTGTCTAGTTTCTTAAATGATGTTTTTGTTCGCTAACTTACCATATGCTGCTGATGTTACCCCTGCTCACAGGAACTTCTGATGTCAGTGTTGGGATTATGTCTACTCCCAGGATTTTTATCTTATTGCTTTTAGTTATTGGCATCCACTTATGGTATAGTTAAATATATGCGAGGTATGATTTATTGGTATAGTTAAATACAGATAATATCTTATAAAGAATGAGTGCCTCTTTTGCCGAGTGATTTGCTTATGTTGAGCGAGGAGGTGCCTTCTATGATTACTGATGACACTTATGATAAGTGAGGTGCTAATTATGATGAATGAGAAGTCTGTGATGTGACTTATGACTAGGGATGTGGCTGTCATGATTAGTGATACAGCTACCATGACCAGGAATGTGGCTGTCATGACAGGACCACCATTATCACAATTTATTTTTTTAATTTTTAAATAAAATTATCGTATTCAATTTGAGGATATACTCACTCTAAATTAACACTTTCAGGTTCTACTGTTTTGATGGTGTACGTCGTGAGCGACAAAGAAGGCACGTCTGCCAAGAACGTGATGTCAAACATTGTGGGCGAGGCCTCTCCTGATTGAATGAAGACTGGATCCACCTGGCATGGTACCATCTTACCCTTCTTCCCTATAACCTGCAAACATGGAACCCAATATATATCCATCCACATTGATGTACCAAGCAATTAGATAGTAGAACTTTTGTGCTATTCGCGTTATAGTCTGAAAAAATAAGTTACATAACAAACTTAAATATTCCTATGCCTTGTACAGCACACATGAGCAATATATTAGGCCTCGGATAATGTGTATTATGCATAGGAAGGTTAGGTTAGTATGTCTTTGAAACATTAGAAAAATCATTTTTCGGTTTATCCAAATTCAATAGTACCAATTTCTACTTTCTAATTGCGTTGTACATCAGTACATGTACTATGGTCCTCATCCTTCCTACAAGTACAAATATTATGAAAACAGGAGGATGGACTGTCTAATAATGATTGGTTGACCTGACATGCTTCATTACAATCATATAGAGCTGTGAAAAGCACATGAACACAATTTGTATACATATCATATAATTATGATAGAACTTTATACCAAAACAATTATCACATTGGCAGAGTAGATAGTAACACTTGCGACAATAACCACATTTTCATAGTACTGTAACCAATTTTTGTGTGTCAAGGTAAACTCCACTACAGGACATCTATATAGATATTATATCTATATTAGCATCAATCATGTAAAACCCAGACAATAAAGGTTTATATCAACATATGATAACTGAATTGCCTTGTCAACCAATGTTATCTTGAGGTTATCTTGAGATGATTTCGGGGCTTTAGTGTCCCCGCGGCCCGGTCCTCGACCAGGCCTCCACCCCCAGGAAGCAGCCCGTGACAGCTGACTAACACCCAGGTACCTATTTTACTGCTAGGTAACAGGGGCATAGGGTGAAAGAAACTCTGCCCATTGTTTCTCGCCGGCGCCTGGGATCGAACCCAGGACCACAGGATCACAAGTCCCGCGTGCTGTCCGCTCGGCCGACCGGCTCCCAGCAATGTAAGACAATAACTGCACTTGAGGGGCTAATATAACATTATGAGAAACAGTTGGTTTTGTGGGAAAAATACCAAGCATATCTAAAACTAAATTCCATAGTTTATCTAAATTTTTTTAGTTTTACATGAAAAATATGCAAAATTTGGTGATAAATTGAAAAAAAAAAAATCCAGAAATCTGAATATGATCCAAAATCCACATCAGGGGCCAGATTCACAAAGCAGTTATGCAAGTACTAACGAATGTGTACATCTTTCCTCAATCTTTGATGGCTTTGGTTACATTTATTAAACAGTTTACAAGCATGAAAACTTCCCAATCAACTGTTGTTATTGTTATAAACAGCCTCCTGGTGCTTCGGAGCTCATTAACTGTTTATTAATTGTAAACAAGCCGCCAAAGATCGAGAAAAAATCTACAGATTCGTAAGTGCTTGTGTAACTGTTTCGTGAATCTGTCCCCTGGTCTAGTACAATATAAGTAATGAAGATTTTGGAGGTGTGCCTGTTCTGTGTACACTGCTGGGCGCAGTCAGCACTAAAGGAAACACATTGTAAAATTTCTATTATTGGAATTGACACTGGTCATTATAGCTTATCAACAAGTAATTGACTGATAGCCATCAATGTCCAGAACTGTAAAGAAAAATCACCAAAGCTATCAAACTAACCTCCACGAAAGGACTGGAAATTCTCAGCGTAACAAGCTCGAAGCGGTGGTGTGCATCAGAGTTATAGATTACCACTGGCACTGACGAGCCGCTCTGTAGGGCCAGGATCATTTTGGAGGCCAACCGATTGTGTTCCGTGTATTTTTCTCCGAGCTCATAGTACAGTGCTCCTTCCTTTACTGCATAATTACGCTGCAGAAAAAAAAAATCCATATTAGAGACATATTTAGTATAAACAAGAAAATACTTCTAAGTTTGATAACAATTTGGAACAAATTTGTGTTTATATCTACTTAAAGGCAGGGCGGGAAAAACAGTCAAATGTTGACTGTAATGAAACACTTTTCTAGTAGTCCCTCAGTAGCTTCTTGAGCTCATCTAGACACTATACATTACTGTACATAATATACACAAATGTATACTTTGGGGGGGACCCCAAAATATACATTAGAGAAAAATTATTTACACAACTAATAATGTAATAATATAGTATTCTACATTCAGTCATTAATTATCATTTACTTTGATAAGGATAACTTACCTGATCAATAGCAAGCAAGTAATGCGCTGCTTGTTGAATGACATACTGACACTCATTGACGCTCCTTATCAATCTGCAATACATCAAAAGTAACCGTTACTGAACAAATGCCCATTTATAATACTTAATTAACCAGACATACTCTGGTATGTGTCTCATACCTAAAAGCCAGAGATGCCTAACAAGTCAAATCATCTTAAACATGAAGCTTTTAAACTTTTCTCTAATGGAGTGATGATAATTTTTCATATTAATATACATAATTCCCCCCCCCCCTCCCCCACTACACAAACACACACACACACTGTTCACAACCTTTGTAAGATCAAAGTTGTAATATGGTGTATGGTGCCCATATCCTAAGCACATCAACAAACTGGAAAAGGTGCAAAGACATGCAACTAAGTGACTCCCAGAACTGAAGGACAGGAGCTACGAGGAGAGGTTAGAAGCAGTAAATACACTAGAAGATAGAAGAAAAAGAGGCAATATGACCACTACGTACAAAATAGTAACAGGAATTAACAAAATTGATAGAGAAGAGTTCCCGAGACCTGGAACTTCAAGAAAGAGAGGTCTCAGATTTAAACTAACTAAACAAAGCTGGTAAAGAAATATAAGAAAATTCATTTTCACAAACAGAGTGGTAGACAGTTGGAACAAATTAAGTGAGAAGGTTGTGGAGGTCAAAACCATCAGTAGTTTCAAAGCATTATTGACATAGTGCTGGGAAGACGGGACACTACGAGTGTAGCTCTCTTCCTTTAACTACACTTAGGTAATTACACATATACAGTACTAGCAGACATACATAAATACATAAAGGCCTACACACAAACAAATTCATTAAATACAATAGCACTTACCTGTTAGAATAGTCAACAACAACATGATCCTTGGCTGTGCCAGTGATGCCATCATGGTGCTGGAAGAGTGCCAGGTTCCTGCGAGCTGACACCAGCCGACCCATCAGCCCATCAGCCAGCTCAACCAGATCTTTACCCATCACACTCTGTGTGGCCAGCATTGCTGTATACAACATTTCTGCTCCCCTGCAAATACATAAACAATTAAAAATCCATATTCACTTCTTGAGTTATTCTTAAGCTTCAATTTTTATCACAACAAATTAATTCATTAAAGCATCACAAAACCTGGGACAAGAAAATTAGACTTCTACCTGAGATAGCCCTCCAGGACTCTGTCTAAGCTCTTATGGAATGGCCTGGATGTATAATAACCACTCCAGTAGTGGTCATCACGGTCTGCATAGGTAAAGAAGTCCCCAGACAAGGATGGGAATATCTCCTGCTCTTCTCCACCTGGGGAGTCACTTTCCTCGTGAACAGCACGAAAATAGTCAGACAACGTCCCAAACTGTGCCTGGTGCGGGAATGTATTTGACTTAGCTTATGGTACTGTAGTTACATTATTCAAATATGAAATAAATCATTAAGTCACTCATGAAATAGTTGTACAAATCATTCTGGAATTCACGGAGTAGTTTTACAGATGCAGCAAAAACAATCAGCATTGAATGTAATGAAAAGCCTCTTTCTGGATGAGCCCCAGTGGGTTTATACAGAAAGAGGATGAACCATCTCTATCTCGCCGAGATGGCTCCCAGCTACTAAGTCACATCAGCCGTAGAGTTCTATTTGGCCATCCGGGGACCAGAGCCAGAACCTAGGAATGCAGAGCCAGAGCCTAGCCATGCAGGAACTAATGCTTCCTGCATTAGGAACAGGCAAAATGCTCAAGAAACTAAGTAGGAACAAAGCAGTTGGCCCAGATAGAGTTTCACCGGGTTCTGAGAGACTGTGCATCTGAGCTATGTATTCCACTTTGATATTTCATTCATCTTTATGTACAAGAATCTTAGCAGACATATGGAAAAAGGCTAACAGTTCCAATATACAAAAACAATAGCAAAGAAAATCATCTTAATTATAGACTTCTTGTATCATTGGCAAGCATAATAGTCAAAACACTGGAAAAAATAAAACCAAATGGGTAGAACACCTGGAGAGAAATGATATAATAACAGAGAGTATGGTTTTTGATCAGGAAGATCCTGTGTAACAAATCTACTTAGTTTCTATGATAAAGTCACCTAGATTTTGCAGGAAAGAGATTGTTGGGTTGGTTGCATTAATCTGGACCTATAAAAAACTTTGAATGTAATGAAATGCTATTGTCTGGGCGAGCCCCGAAGCTCCCTGAAGCTCTCCGAATTGATGTCCTATATATTAGTTTGGGGTCATCAGTCATAGGAGTCCTTTGCATTAAAACACCGGCTCCTCCTCCCCCCCTCCTCCCTTCGAAGGGAACGGGGAAGGGGGGGGGGGAGAATCGGTAACGTGCAGGAGTGGTAGTTGCACGAAGCATTGTTGGATTTCTTTTTAGGGGAATTATTTTGATCTTTTGGGACATATATTGCACAGGTTAACCAGACAACGGTCTGTTTTGATTTGTCTACCTTTCTGGGTCCTTCCCCGGTTGATGGCAATTATGACATACTGTACTTTAAATGTAAAGTGCTCATAGGCCATTGCTCCTTGCGCCTCTCTGAAGGGGTCAGGTTCTGGCTCGTGGTCCACGGTAGGCAAAAGGACTCCTGTGACTCATGACCCCAAATTAATGTAGCACATACCAGTTCGGATGGCTTCCAGGAACTGACCGGGCTCCCCACAGAAAAAAAAAGGCTTTCGAAGAGGTTGTTTTGGAAAGTGGAACATACTGCAGGACTGACAAGGAGACTTGTGACATGGATGAAAAATTTTCTAACATACAGAAAAATGAGGCCAGTAATCAGCGTCAATGTATCAGACTGGAGAAGTGTTACCAGTGGAGTACCACAGGGTTCAGTTCTAGTACCAGTTATGCTCATTGTCTATATATAAAGACAATCTACTAGAAGCATTACAGAATTCTACGAACATGTTTGCTGATGATGCTATGATACTGGGGAAGACAAGAAACTTTGACAATTGTTGCACCCTTCAAGAAGACCTGGACAAAAGTGATGCCAAGTTTCATGACTTTGAAGATACCATTGGAGATATGCGCATAATTCCCTAATTAAAGAAAATAGGATCTAATTTTCACCTCTACGTGCAATTCCTCGTGTGAATTCAGATAGTCAAAAATTTTCTGGTAGTTATTGAATTGGTTGTCCCACTCTTCTGGCCTCACGTATCGGAAGTCGTCGCCAAGAGGGATCAAGAGGACATTGGTACGGTACAGCTGAGCCTTCTTGCGGTACTGATCCAGGAGAATCTGTGACCTGCAGCAATCATAGTTGTAAGTAAATACATATTCAAATATTTATTAATGAATTCATTAATGATCAATTCAAATACTGTACTATCTATCATGATTAAACATATGTATGACAACTCACGAGGAGCGCTGTATGGAGACTTATGAAGTAATGAGGTATTGGTCTACCAGTGATGGTATGTAGGGAGATATGGTATATAGACGAGAGTGATCCTAAAAAATGTTTACCATTTTTTACATTACTGCTCCCCCTTCTTCCCCCACAAAATGTGAAAATGGATGATGATGACGATAATGAAAAAAATTACAACGATGATGATGACGACAATGTTGTTGCTAAAGAACCACTTTGCCAATACATTCAAAGCAATTTTAAACTGCAACAGTTAATTCTAAAGACACAATTAACCCACATTCAATGCTGTATACATGACCTTAACCCTTGGGTGGGCTGCTTGCCTGTATACAAAAGACATTGTCCTGGTGTGTGGGAAAAAAATTCCCCATTTTTTTCCTTCTAATATTATTAAAATGCATTTCCCAATCATGGAAAAAACAAAAACAAATTATATGGCTTATTTTTGCTGTGATGAAGTGAGGAAATTTTGTGATGATGCCACAATCCACAAGCGTTCATTGCTCAAGGGACCAACTGCCCTGTGGAGGTCACCCTAGGCCAGGTGACCTCCATTTGCCATGAAAATATTTGTACATATTTACTTTAATGTGTCCGATTTGTATTTTCTCTTTCTTTCTACAGCAATACAGTGTTATTCAATAACAAGTCATTTGAGAAATTAATACAGTGGTGCCTCGAATAATGAATTTAATCCGTTCTGGCATCGAGCTCGTCATGTGAAACGCTCGTCTTGCGAAACAACAACAACACTGTCGTCAGAGGTGTCCGAGAACTAGCGGGAACGCTAGGAAGCACCATGTAGTTTGCTCGTTAATCGAGACAAATTTTCTGCGAGTGGCTCGCTCATTACTCGATATGTTCGTAACTGGAGTCGCTCGTCACTCAAAGTTCCACTGTATACCTGTAATAAAATACATGAAACACGAGAATGCTCAAATATATCTTCATGTTCTAATCAAATATTCTAAGAACAATAGAACATACTGCTTTTTTGCTGTTATTACACTATATAAACATATATACATACTATCAACATTTGTATGCACCATAACAAACCACTAAGCAGCTGTGATTGGTGTGCTAATCTCATAATACAAGCATAGCATAGTACCACACGCTAGTCGGTTGCAGATGGCACCTAACAGCAAAATGCCTCCCAATATACTACGCACACTGCCAAATCTAGCCATAACACCAATATTACCATCAGAACCCTGGGCATAAAATCCTGAATATGAATAATTTTCCACAAAGTTCATTTTCTAAATTAACACGAGTTTTCATTTTATGATGCATAGATACAACATAGATCAGCATAAATCAATATTCTTCATTCATTTCATAGTTATTCTTTCCAGAATTGTACACATGGAATCATTAACCATAGCAAATCAATGGTGACGACCTTCAGTTAAATTCGAGTAAATATCTAGCAGTGTCCACTGCACACCAGAAACTATGTTTTCTTACAAATTACTATTTACCTGCCAAAATGTTCATGGACAGTCAAGGAAAATGTAAGGTAGACTGGGCTTGGGAAAGCATGATACTGCCACCTGATGGTGGATGGCAGACTGGCCAGCAACCAGACCAGCAGTTAGTGAGCCCTCATTTGGCAGCAACTTGTCCTTCCAGGTGAGGCTTGGTAAGAGTCTGAGTTTCAATGAATGTGTCTGATGATTTCTCCAGTGCCTCCCTAGCACACCTTTATGACACTGTAGACATTTAACAATGCCTATGGTGCTTGTATCAGAATAATATTCTTGACAGTACTGAACATGAAACCTGTTTATTGGCACAGTGAATGCTTACCATTGGAAGTAATTAAATGTGATAGCATATAAAGATAATTTTTTTTAATATGTCACATCATACCTGGATGCCACATTTTGGTCATTGATGAGCTGTGGTGGTATGCGCCACGGACAGGTAACTCCTGACCCAGGAAGTCTTCGGAAGTCAAACTGACAACAAATTTTGGGGTCTGGGCCACAAGTGTGTGGTATATCATAGCTGTAAAATGGCATCATGTGGCAGAATATTTCTGTAGTTGACCCAGAATCTAGAAAAAAAAAATAAGTGTTAACGGAATATAAATAAGTACTGTACTGTAACAGTTTCTGAGCAATTCCTCGGTTATTCCTGAACCTAGAGCCAGGATCCATCCAAGACACTGCTCATATGACTTACTCTAGTTGCTCTGCACCCCACTGTGATCCCTTGATGGCAGTGCTGGTAGTTTTAGAGCTCGGTCTCTTCTCAGAAGTCCAGACCCTACCACCAACTCTGTCAAATGTTAAAGAGGACACAAACACAGTGGCCCACCTACCAGAACCCCAGATATTAACACCAACTAAAACACCCAGCACTTCCATAAATACAATAGTATCATTTGTATTTGCTAACATTCAGAGGTTAAAGACATGCAAATTAAAGTCCACATTACAGCTGGCCTCCTAAATGAGGCAAATGCAGTGTTTGCAGCTATAGCTGAAACTCACGCAAAGGATTAGCATGATAGTGAAATATGGATACTGGAGTACAATATTTTTCAAATGTGAGAGGAACCACAGGGTACAGGTTAGGGTCAGCCTGTATATCAAAGACACACTTCTGCACCGACCTGCAAAACACCACAAATGATATGGTGGAAGTGGTGACAACAATAACAATAATACACAGAATAATCACATTATGATAATGTATATCAATGAGAAAATTTACAGGAGCCATGATTGGGATTTGAACCTATGCGTTGGGTATTCCCAGATGCATGCTCTAAACGGTACAGTTGTTTAGAGCGTGCATCTGGGAATACCCAGATCATAGGTTCGTATCCTTCTCACGGCTCCTGTAGATTTTCTCAATAATAATAACACAGTAATAATAAATCCTAAATGTAGTTACTAAATCACCAAAGGCAAATCCGCAATAGTTTAAAGACCAACTAAAGAGAATAAAATACTGCTTAGAAAACCCTCACAAACCCAGCCTCGATCATCATCTTGCTTGGGGACGCCAGCCTGTGGTACCTAAAATGGAAGAATGTAGCAAATACAGTTATATTGTAAAGAATCCCAGGAAGTAGCCTAAAAGAAGAGTCACATATAAGTGATTTATTACAGATGTATGACAGATTTGTGTTAAACCAGCAAATAGCAGAACCAACTTGAAAACACATTAGAACTTATTTTCACAAATAACGATGAGTTTGATCAGGAACATTATGATTACAAATACCAGTTGTTCGGATCACAACTCAAGTGAAGTTCAGACTAGCATGGGCAGCATATGCAAAATAGCTCCACTGAAAATCAAAGGTGCAGTAGGCACACAGGGACTATCAACATCAATGTCCCAAGACTTTTCAACACTCCTACATCACACACATGCGATATAACTGGCCAACCTCTTGCGGTGGTCAAAAGAGAACTCGACAAGCACCTTCAAAGGATACCTGATTAACCAAGCTGTAAATTGTATGTCAGGTTGTTGCCAGCTGCAACAAACAGCCTGGTTGATCTGACCTGCAACCAGGAGGGCTGGTCAGACACCACGCTGCTGGCATGTTGATCCTCAAAAACATCAACAGGTAGACTAAAATTTTGAATATGCAGTGGTTGTATGGTGCCTATATCTCAAGATGCAAATCATTAAACTGTAAAATGTGCAAAGGCATGCTACAAAATTGGTTCTTGAACTAAAGCAACAAATGCTATGAAGAGAGGCTAGAGGTACTATATATGCCAAAGCTAGAAGATAGAAGAAAAAGAAGAGATATGATCACTATTAAAAAAAAATAGTAGCAGGAATTGACAAAATTGATGAAGGAATTCTTAAAACCTGCACCTTTTAAGTAAGAACAGGTCATACATTCAAGCTAAGAAAACAAAAGTGCTGAAAAAGTATTAGAAAGTTCTCTTTCACAAACAAAGTGGTATATGGCTGGAACAAGCTAAGTGAGGTGGTGGTGGAAGCCAAAACCGTTAACAGTTTCAAAGCATTATATGACAAAGTGTGCTGGGAAGACCGGACACCACCAGCATAGCTCTCATCCTGTAGCTAAATTTAGGTAATTACACACATTACACCAGGCCTAAACATCACAACAGTAATACACACACACAAACACACGTGTCCTCACCCCAATTCTGTCGCCACTTGAATTCTAGGTTTTTTTCTTTAGCCAGATGTTTCTTGACAGAGTAGTGGACTCGTTGAATCAACATGTTCTCCAAACCCATGCGTTTCAACAGGTATGCCATAGTAGCAGTCATCCCAAATGGATCAATGGCCCATCCATTGCTGGTGATAAAACTTTTTTTTAATTTAAAAAAATAGAAAAGCATATATTTAGTGATACAAATAACAAACTTCCAGAACTAGAATACTATCTGAAAGGACATTCTGAATGTTTGCTTTCATTAATATTAAACAGTACAGTATTTCTATTATTTAATATTAAAAATTTTGTAAGGCTGAATGGTGAATAATCCTCAATTACAGTAACTCCAATACTTGTGCCACACACAAGAGCCTGAGCTGAAAAGCAAACAGTTCCATTAAGGCTACAATCACCCTCTACATTATCATCCAAACTGCAATAATCAACATTATTGTCTTCATAAAAGAAATAACCGACCAATTTGTTCACATCAATCTTAATTTCCATTAATTAATAACACTTTCCTGGATTTTCGACTTGGAATTACGGGTGTTTTGCTTAACCGCTTGTCGGATCACGACGTAAATTTACGGACCGTGTTTTATATTGGGTATTTACTACTCGATCGACTTGGGGTTTGTATGAATATGTTTGCCATTAAATTTTCGTTTTCTCTAAATGGCACAGTGCTTATTTGAGAAAACGGCAATGTATTGTAACTTTGAGGAGAGACTATTGAGTTGGTGACAACGAGGGTACGCCCACTCCACACACTCTTGTGTTGGCCGCGATCATGATTCTACATTTATATGCATATGTCTGTGTAGAGAATTTTATTCCGAACACTATACAAAAAAAAAAAAAACGGTGTGAATCAAGTATAAACTTGAAAAAACATGAGCAAAGTAAAAACTTTTTACTCTCACGGGTACAAACACGCGTAAGATTTTATTCGCCGCAAATTTATTTGACGCTCTGTTGGCCAATTCTACCCATGTTCTTATAGAACTTTCTATTGCGAACACATTGCTATAAAAATGAAATACGTAGCTCGAGAAATAATGTCAGAACAGTGAAATAAGTATAAACTTTCAAAGCGCTGCATCACAACAGTGTCGTCGCTGCTGAAATCATGGCTAACGCTTCGCCCAGTTCCCACACTCATGCGAAACATAATTAGACATTGATAGGCATATGTCTGGGTGGGGAATTTTATTGCGAGTTCAGTGATATCAAAATAAGCGCTGTAGGATGACTGTGAGGCTGGCAACAAACGAAAGAGTATGAACATTTACTTCCTGTTTGGGTGTCACGGCGAGTCATCTTCGTGTTTATTTACTTCGTGGTGGGATAGCAAATGCTTGGGCGACATTTTATGCATATGATCTTGTAGAGAATTTTATTGCCAACGCATTGATACCAAAATGAAAAACGTAGCTCGAGAATTGATGTTAGGAGCGTGAAAAGATTATAAACTTTTTTGTGTTTACGCTTGAGCGCCCAGAACACCGCACACACTTTTTTTTTTCAGCGAGTGCCGCACGCACTAAAGTGTTAATATAATTGTTTGCATAAATAATTGACATATTTCCTCAGAGATCCATAGAGTTCAACCCAATCCCATTCCGTCAGAGATTTGTGTGTCGCTATGGAAGCAAGGAAGACAAGGTTAGGAACACATGGAGTGGTGCAGCTAGCAAGGGGTAAAGAAACACAGAGTTTCCGCAACACCATAACTCATAGAACTATGAAATTTCATGAAAGAAATCTCTGCATCAAGTTTAATGTTAGTATAGAAGATAAGATTGAATATCACAATCAAGACTAGCGCATTCATTACTTCACTCCACAGTGTTTAATAATAGTCTTTCTAATAGTATCATTATGACCAAAATGGTATTTCTTACTTGGGTTTAACCCCTAGGTTCAATTTGAGCCATTCGTGTCCTTCAATCATCTGCTCAAGCATGGCAAAATAGTGTGGATTTGCTTCATCATTCATGACCCAGCCGCCCGTGACGATCTCCAGCTGACCACGATCTATTAGCCTGTGGAGAACAGGAGAGCAATTACTTCTGATTAGAGTGAGAAGTAAACAAGGGCAATGAACATCATATAATAATATAAAAGTATTTTTCTCCTATCTCTCTCATTGTTTTTGCAATAGCCAACATTTTTTTCCTTACACAAATCTTACACATTCTGTTTAACAATGTTCAATACATGCAACACAGTTACCCCATCATGCCATCAGATTGTCACACTTTCTAACTGCAGCAACCTTTTCCCCATCTTCCAGGTTTCATAGATGCCCAACATTTGTATGTCTCTTTTCCTCATATCATTGTCTTATACAGTAGATAACTCAAATTAGCTCATGTTGTTTTAGGATGGTTCAAGCATGATCCAATATTGCATGTCCCTCTTCCTCAAATCATTGCCCTTTCACAGAAATAACACATTCTCTTCTGCCATGGTTCGTTCAAGCCCAACAGATATGCCACGTTAGCTCACATATTGCTTCATCAACTTGCATACAAAATATAAATAACTATAAAATACAACAACTTTTGTTTAGCTGCATTAATTCAAAATTTGAGCTGTATAGGATGGCTAGTTTTTCATATCCAGTACAGCTCATTTACGGTATCCTTTGTTGATGAAAGTTTGACACATTGGTTCTCTATAAACTCTATTGCATTAGGAAAGTGTGCAGTGAATGCTGTACATAATTCCTTGTTAGGAGGACAGAGGAAGAGGACCATTACCTCCGCACTGTCTCTCTCACACTCTCGGTCTGCTGATCCCACCACATAGAAAAGTATGATATCTCTGCCCAGATAAATTTTCTGTGCTGATCCACAGGAAGCTTCTCCACCATGTTGTCCAAGATATGACGAGTTTGGTCACTGTAGTACTGATCAAATGTCTTTATCCAACCTGAAATAAAAAAATAATCCGGAAAAATAACTTCACAAGTATTAAATCTTATGTATTTTTTTAATTACAGTATAGGTATAATTACTGTATTATTATTATTATTATTATAAAAACATGTACAGTATAGATATCACTGCTTTCATAAACAAACTGAGCTAATTTATAGCAAAATACAGTCACATAAAAAATGAAGAGATACAATCATACAAAATATGAGCAAGTTTAGTTTAGTCATTAATTATGCACCCCATACCATTCGTGAATGGTATTGGAAAGGATTACAGACACACATAAAACTATATAGAAGCAATAAAAGGGGCGATGTTATCCACCAGCTCCATCACGCACTTGTGAGACCCCGCATGGGTGTCACAGTTCAGCTCTGGCCACCATACTACAGAATGGATAAAAATTCTCAAATATATGGAGAAGATTCACAGAGTTAATTCCAGGCATTAGACGCCTTCCCTATAAAGAACTATGAAGAATGATTACAAAAACTCAACTTAGACTCTCCAGATATTCACCAAATAGGAAGAACACGAGTGAAACCTACAAATGTATGAAAGGGTTTAGTGAGGGTAATATAAATAAGGTTAAAATAATTTTTAACCAGAGACAAAACAATGCACACATTGAATGCATTCAAAACTAGAAAAGAAATAGATAAACACTGGTTTAGAAAGAGCTACAGATCTATGGAACAATTTCCAAGTAACATCATAAAAGCAAACTCGTAAAGTTTCAAGCATTGGTTGGACAAACAAAAGCACGAGTGGGTGGATATAAATGGGAGCTGCCTTATATGGACCAATAGGTCTTCTGCAGATTCTTATATTCTCATGTTCTTGAGCTTTAAGTATTCAGGAAAGTACTCTGGCCTCAAGTACTAAAGAACCTTTTTGGTCTAAATGCACCAAAGGAAGCACTCTGCCCTCCAACAACCCAGGAAACATTTTTTGGTCTCGAGTGACCACAGAAGCACCCTGGCCTTAAGTGACCACAGAAATTCATCCAGGGAAGCAAAAAGTATGCATATTATTTCATCTGCCTCCCTCTACATCATCATCATCATCATTTCTCAAAGTAGAGAAGATCATCACACTATATACAGACACGCATACACACACACACATTTCTGTACCTGGATCGTTGTGAGAATGTGGCACAACGAATACCCTAAGCTTCTTCCCATGGGACCATTGTGCTGCGTCATACTGGATGTCCCACCCTTGCTTCCACACGCCACCATCAGGGTTGTCAAATTTCAGGAGGTTATAGACATTTTCCATCTGTGGGTGAAGACACACTGAACTCTTAGACCTACAATAGCACGAGTAAGTGACATAAGGATGAGAGCATATAGTAGTGACATATCCAAGTGAATAATGAAGGCACTGTCATGGGAACAGAAGATGTTTGCCTAAGTGGGATAGGAACATTCCATTATTAATTAATTATTTTTAATTATTAATTATCTAGCTTCAGGAAATCACAAGACACTTCATATTCAACAAATATCCTCAGGAACAATGTGGAGGACCAGTGACAAGTTGCCAGCTTCCTGTCCCTGTTGCAACCTCCAGGTAAATATATAATGTATATTTAGTTCAAAATCCAGTTGGAAAAAATCTTCAGGAGCAATGGGAAACATTTGACAAACCAATGGCTTCTTGTCCCCATTGCGGTCACTTGAGAGTGTGACCGCAATCTGGTTAATACAGTATTCATTATCCCTTTTTCTTGCGAAGTTTATTAACAAAAATAAAACCACTTTTTAGCAGTAGTGTGTGGAGCACCAACCTGAATGTCAGCAGGGGACGGCACAGCTTGGGCAAAGATGCAGTCATCCTGCATCACTGCCGCTCGAGTCAGGTTGTAATGTATCGGAGAGAGGGAGCTCTTGAGAGGGGACCCAGGTGCAGGAGCCTGTGCAACGCTAATTGCATTTATGCCATTCCTAAGGGACAATGTTTACCATTAGAAACTTTATGTCTAAATAAAAATACTTTTCACTGCTAAATTACAGTGCATTACAGCTAAGAAAATATTGTAATGAAATATCACCACCATCTGCAGCACTATCTTCTCAGTGGCTTGAAAGAGTGGTCATATTTTCCCCATCAGCAGCTTAAGTCTGGTCATATTTTCTGTTAAAGGCTTGAGAGAGATGCCACATTTTTCCTGTCAGGGACCACTCCCTTAAGCCACTGACAGGAAAAATATGACCAATTGGTCATATTCCCTCTGTTAGTAGCTTGAGAGAGTGGTCATATCAATGATTCGAGATAGTGGTAACATTTTCCCTGTCAGTAGCTTGATAAAAATGGTCATATTTTCCCCAACAGTGGCTTAATAGTGGTCATGTTTTCTTGTCAAATAAGTAAAAGGATTAGATGCTAAGTTACTTTACCTGGAAAACTTATTGGCTGCCACTATGCCATACTGGGGACCCAATATGGAATTTGCTCGAGAGTTGGAGCTAGCCAGCTGATGTACCAGACGCTTGATCTCCGAGATAGTGTGCTGATTGGCCTGGATGTCTGCTTCCAGCCTCCGTAACCGAGACTCAAGGGAGAGGATTTCCTGAGGATCACAAGAAAAAGTTTGCAATTTTTCAAGTGCAATGAAAACATCTTGTGGAGAATACAGCTAAAGACATGTGAAGAACAAAACATAAGAGACTCACAGACAGTAAAGAAAAAAGGCAGTGAGAGAGAGAGAGAGAGAGCCACAGGCAGTGAAAGAGAGGCACAGGCAGCAATGGAGAGTTGCAGTGCAAGATATAGATACAGACCTTTTGATCACCTGGTGGGCGGTTGTCTGGAGTCAAGTTAAACACCTGGTACAGCAACACGAGGGTTGCTAAGCTCACAGCTCCCCCAAACACCATTGAAGACACACGCAAACGCATCCTGGAACAATTGTAATCTTTCACAAAATTATAGCAGCTGTTGCACTGTAAATGATTTCTAGTTGTATTTTAACACACAGAGGGAATAGTTGAATCTAGCACAAGAGGGAATTGCTGATGCCAGACATCCTGATATTAGATAAAGATTGCTCTCACCTTCAGTGTGCAAAACAGTACTTTGACCCAAGAGGTCAGGTCTGGTGACCAAGTCAGATACTGTGAATCTTGCTATTTGGATAATTGTAATGGGTCACCTGTACTGAATCAGACTCCTTCTAGTAAAGAGCAGCTGCTTGTCAACTGTTTTGTTGCAAGATAGTTTCAGGCTATCTAATGAGGGCAGGGCTTAGCTCTTGGGCTCCCACATAAATAAGCTAGCAAATTGAGGACAGACAGAAAATAGTGGAGACACACTCACAGAGCGCTTCAGGGTTTAATAATGAAGACCCAGACCCAGGTACAAAGCCCTATGTTGTCAAGGCATAGACACACCTGCCCCGCAACAGTCATCTCATTATATAAGGTCTAAGGTCTTGGAGTATTGTGAGTGTGTGAGGTGATGTATATTACACTGTGGTTCCGATTTAAATGTTTTGTGAATATGTCAGGGGTAGTCAGTCTTGCAGTTTTCTCAGACTTCTGTGACTGGCTCACATTGCTATCTTCGAGTTATATTTTATACATGTAGAGCAAATAATTCATGAATAATAAATGTGTCAACCATTATGGGTGTTGTCCTATTGGCTCAGATAAAAATAGTTGATTGGTGTTTGCACTGTTGCACAGTGTGGTACTATGCTTTGACTGCATTTTCTGCTGATTTGAAGATACTTTTTTTTCAGTTTACTTTCTACCACATTGTAAAAGCTCTTCATTCACTCTCTCTAGTTGATTGCTCATTAACTCACTGTAGCTATATGTATTCTAAACAAAATTCTGGGAAGGCATTAACTCTGAGTCACTTCTAAGCTGAGGACAGATGGTAGCTGTTTATTTTTATTGTCATGCTAATACTGAATATATAGGGGTCCTGGTAGTACTGTACTGTTGGGTTCATTCTTGACTCTCAATTGAGAATTCCAGGTTCAAATCCTAGGTGGGCCAGAAATGGTTGGGCTTGTTTCAAATCACCTAATGCCCCTGTCCACCTTGCAGTAAGTAATACCCAGGAGTTAGTCAGCCTGTAGTGGGGTTGCATCCTGGGGGGGGGGGGGGAACAGTAATTCGACCCTGGGAGGTTCCTCAATATAAGCCTAACATGTACTGCATGTATAAACTAGCTGCCTGTCCCATGACACAATGAATTAATTATTGGGATGATTTAAAATATGATATAGAAAATTGTCAGATAAATAAGATTTGGCTAATAGCAACCAGACATAACTGATGCTAAAATGTTCAGGTATTCACTGATGGTAGAATACGAAGTGTTATGAATTATCCTCTACCATGTTATAATCCTTCATTTATAATATAACAGTACTGTACAGTACATAAAAAACATTTCAAATGTTCATTTAGAGCACAGAACATGTAATAATGTTATATGGTTGGTTTAAGCATTTAGGATTTAGAGCACAATGGAACTTCAATACAACGAACTTCAATTCGGTGAATCTCCAGTTGGAACACACACCTTCCATGCCAGATTTACTTACCTGATTCGACGAGCAAGAAGCTGTGGATGCATGGATTTGCTTAGGATGTTGGGACCAAGTTCACAGATGAAGGCAACATTACAAGAAGTAGTTGGGGCTTTGGGAAAGCCACTGAGCATATTTAAAACCAAATTCTAAGGTTCTTTTTTCCATTTCCAGTTGCAGATGTTTTCGTTCAGTAAAATATAGGCCCTTTATCCTTTGAAAATGAGCTTTCAAGGCTTGGGAGTGGGAAACATGCTAAATGTGGTTAAATCTCTCTACAGACAGGCTCTCTTGCCATTCATACGATAGGTTGAAATTATAATATCGCTCGGTGAAATAGAGCACGGAAAAGATTAAGTATGAATGGTAACTCTTAATATGGCCCAGATCATGTTTTCAGTTATTTTTGTAGATGGGCACAACATTACAACAAATAGTAAGGGGCCTTGGGAAAGCCCCTTAGAATTTGGTTTTAAATACTGTATGCTACGTTTAATTTTAATTTTGAGATTTCCCAGTTTTCATTCACATATATAGAGAGACTTTTTTCTTTGAAAATGAGGTTTAGAGGCTAGGGCATGGGAAATATGCAAGATGCAGATAAATCTCTTTACAGACAGGTTCTCTTGATAGTTGTCCTTCACGTGACAAGTTGAATTTTTAATTTTGCTCTGTGGAAATCAGCCCATAGTGCATGGGATATATTAGGGTATGAATAGTAACTCTTAAAATGGTTCCAATCACATTTTGATGATTTTTGTAGATAGACTCAATGTTATGAGAGATAGTTGAAGCCTTGAGAAAGCCATATTTAAATCCAAATTCTATGGTTTGTTCTCATTTTGAGTTGGCAAGGTTTTTGTTCACTCAGATACAGCCCTGCTACCTTTTGAAAATGAGTTTTGAGGCTGAGGATGTGAAAGATAAGCTAGATGTGGTTACTTTTTTTTTTGCAATGTTTCTCTGGTACTTGTCTATTATAGTATAGGTTGAAATTAACATTTCTTGAAATGAAATTGCCCATAGCATGTGGAAAACACATCCTAGAGGCATCTCCAGTTGCAACAAATCCCTCACTGTAAAGAATTGGGGTTGGTCCCATATAATTCATTGAATCAAGGAAGTACTGTATTTATTTATAAAGCCCCAAATTCCACTCAGCATTTAAGGCATCATTTACCATATGAAAGACAAAATACCATCTTTGAAAGGCATACAAAGTACCACCTTTGTAAGTCACATTATCTATCACAGTGATGTTTTACAAATGTGTTAGTATTTACTGGTACAAAAGTACTGTACATATTATTGAATGTTCCCTCCACAAACAAACTTACCTTGTGGTTTTTGGTACTTTTTTTTCCTGCTTTTCCCAGTGTCAGTCTCAACCCCAAGGCAACTTCATAGTACTGTAGAGAAAGCAATCCATTATTAATATAAAATGACATACACAACAGCAAAGACATTGAAATATCACAACAGTTGAACCTACAAAAAAACACAGTACTACATTTGAAAGCCTGACAAAACTACCTAGCTTAAATCTGACATCCTACATAATCTATAGCTTAATAAGTAATGTATGGAAGTAAAGGAAATCATGGGAAAAGTGCAGATCACTTGAGAGCATAGATGTAAAGCCAAGAATCCACAGGATAAAATGTGCATTGTCGCACACATTCTAAAAGCTTTACATCTATCAACATAAAAACAAAGCCAAACCAATTCTGGTCATATCACAACAAAACAACCAGCAAAACATCAGGTTCTCTAACCTGATATTTTGCTGGACAATGTGGGAAACATTTACAATGAGCTCGACAAAGATTTTAAAAAGTACTCGCAACAGGTCAAAAGAAATTACCTGAAAGGAGAGGGGGAGGCCTCACCAGACAAAGTTTCAAGTCTGTAAAAGTACAGTATCTTTCTAATAAAAAATCCTTCTAACCAAAGTCAATTCTTAAAACCTAAAAGCCTTTCCAAGCCATCTCATAAATCCACAGTTGACCCCTAAGTAGTGCTCTAGTTGCCTACACCATTCACTAAGAAACTCTGTATGTAGGTAAAGAGGAGTAACAAGGAAGGGCTTGAGAGCAGCCGAATAATTAATTTGCTCAGAAAGATGCTTTTTATAATGAATGGTATATGTTGAAGAGGATTGCATATCAACATATACCATTAAATAACATAAAATACACAGTCTATAGCTACATGTATCATGAGTTCATCACTGGTATATCATGGCATCTTAGCTTTGGGTCTAGGTTTTCTATTGAAGCCCTGAACATTTCTTCCTACCATATCACGACTTCTTCACTTGAGGCTCAGACACGAGTAAGGAATACAAAACAATGAGTGAAATGCCAACAATTATGTTATTAGCAATGTCACATGTGTGACAAATGTTTGATATACTCACTCTCTTGCTTAAGAATTTTTGATACATTGTATACAGGTGTATGGACACATGTTTATTCAGGTAAAATATAATATATAAAATAATGCAATCAAGCTAAACAAAAAAAGCACAAAAACACGTTTACTGGTTATATAATCACACATATTGTTGTACTGTATGTGGATTGAGGCCTCAGGCCAGTTACTGGAACCATTTAGGTTACTCAGCACATATTTTTCCCAGAATCTGATTTGCCAGTTGATTTACATCAAGATCGCCAATTACTGGTGGGTGCACAGGGAGAAGCAAGGAAACGGTGCTCAATCGCCTTTGACCAGCATTCACATTAAGATCCTTTTGCTTGCATGGCACGTGTGCTGGGTCCGTCTAATTACCCAAAGCTACTCAAACCTATTCAAAGCTACACAAAGCTTCCTAGCACTTTCGTTAGTAATGAATAAATATGATATATTTACTTATTACAGTATAATGTTGGTGCTGAATGTAGAACATGAAAAACATAATTTTACTCTGAAAAAGTATAATTCTATAACGAAATCAGACAAAAATAAGCTACTGGTGACGCCAAAGCAAGTCGACAGTCCAAGCGACAATGTTTGCTGGCATATGAGCCTCTTGTACCTACCTAACCTAACCAACCTACCCAAACATAACCTAACCTAAACTATCCAAACATAGCTTAATATAAACTCTAGGCAACAATAATATTTTGAATAATTTGTTCATCTTGGATAAATTGCTCCACAACATTGTCGCTTGGATTGTCGACTTCCTATGGCCTCTTGTGCCACTTAGTTTCGTCGAATTTAATTATAAATTTATATTACTTCAGAGAAAAAATATGATTTTTAATATTCTACATTCAACACCAACAATATAGTGAGTAAATATATCATATTTCTTCATTACTTACGTAATGCTAGGTAGCTTTGAGTAAATTTGGGTAGCTTTGGGTAATTAGATGGATTGCATGTGCTTGTGTTTACACCACAGGGTGCCCCTAAAGTCACTGTCAAGTCCAGTCTGCCCACTTTGAGAGAGATTTTGGACCTTAGGCTGACTTCCACGAAGCCATAACCTAATTCCCTCCCACAAGACCATGACCTGACTCCTCCATGAGACCGTGACCTGACCTTCCCCTCCGTTGGAGAGTAGAAATATTTTAAGCTACTCCATCCTTTTGAGATGTACCTTATTGTCTCAACAAACTTACTTGAAACTTGAACCTGACCGTCCCCCATCACCATGACACTATGACCTGACCCCTTCCCGCATCATGACCTGACTTCCCCTATGAGACTATGACCTGACCCCGTGCCACGAGACCATGGCCAGGTAAGAGAAGTGCCACGCACCTACACACACACAACTCTCGCCACCGTCTCCGGCTCCTGCTGTTGGCACTACTGCCACTCCAGCTGACAGCTCTCCTTCGCAGAGTTCCGGCTTACGTTCTCTTCGCCACTATCTCTCTAATCTTGGATTTCTCAACATATCACCATCTAATACGAGTTTCAAATATTTAAATTAATGTAAATGAATGTTATACTCTTCAGCGTAATGAATAATTTACTCTAATAGGAAATATTTCAATACATAAATTGGCTTTTAATAATCCGGATCAAGCAACCGTCTGTCGTAAACACACGACTAATTAACCTGTTTCCACAAGAGTCATTTCGTTCATACATTATTATTTATATAATTTGTATTCAGTAGTTATAGCTTTTAAACGTGTAGGCTATATAGGAAAAGGTTGCAGATATGATGTATAGGTATAAAGAGGCGCGCACACTTGCTACATGTTTGTTAGAAGGCAATTTTAAGATATAAAATATATATAAATGGCATATATTTATCTTGTTTGATATGCTGTTTCGAAGGTCTAATTGTGGACTTTGTTACAGTTCTTGCGGCCACTCCATACTTTAATATATTCATGCCACGTGTCTATAGTGGCCGTAGATCATACTATGGTTTATTTATTTTACTTATTTATAGACAAGAAGGTACATATTGGGTTTATGAGAGTAGTTTTTTTTAGTTTAGTTCATTTATTATGCACCCCATACCCATCTTGTGGGCGGTAGTGGAAAGGGTTACAGAGGCACATAATGGGCTCAGGGACTGAACCCCACAATTCATTTAGCTAAGCAAGTTACAATCTTGATGAGCTAGTTACAAAATTCAATATAAGTCGTCACATCAACAATGGGTTCGAGATCGACCTCAAGTACAGGTTCTAAATTAAGCAACTGACATATGTGGAGAGCTAGTGTCAAAATTTATATGTTTGTCCTGCACACCGCCCCCCATCCAGTGGGCAGCGGTGAGAGTACATCGTTGTTTTTAGTCTTGTAAATAATCCGGCCACACTTACGGCCAATCTATACTTTAATGCTTAATATATTCATGCACGGTTGCCAGATCTAAGTTGCGGAAAGTAGAGAGCTGACGCTCTAAAAGTAGCGGATTTGTAATAAAAGTAGCCCAATCTTTTTCAGTGAATGATATGGGTTTCAAAGTAATATATTTTGATATATAGAGTACACTAAGCGATGTTAATTGTTTTATTAATATTATTTCTGCACATACACACACACATATTATATATATATATATATATATATATATATATATATATATATATATATATATATATATATATATATATATATATATTGGTGTATACTGGCAGCAGGTTTTCTTTCAAACATGTTTCATTGAATATGACCGCATATTCTGTATTTATTATTTTCTGGTTTAGGGCTTCTATCCCTCTAACTATTTTCTTAGCATCAGGGCTTAATTGAAATAGGAGTTCTCCAAAACTCATTTTCGTACTTTTAAGGTGAAGAAAAGAAGTGATTTACTATAGAGTGTATTACACTTATTTGTATAATTTGCACGACGTTTCGAACCTCCATGGTTCATTCTCAAGTGAACAGATCTTACAATACTAGTTGATTTTATACCCGCATTAGGTCAGGTGATAATACAATGAAGGTGAAAACATGGGGGGATACATAAGGGATAAACATAGGGGCTGCAGAAGGCTTATTGGCCCATACGAGGCATCTCCTATCTAAACACAAAGATTAATCCAGTGTAATTGGCCTGTTATGTTGGACATTGTCTTCTGTGTTGGCATCGATATGTTCTTGTCTTGTCCTTACTCTCATGGTGGGTAGAGTAAATAGTTCCGTGATTTGGGTGTTCATGGTAGGTCGCTCTATTCTTATGTGAATTGCCTCAAGAATTTGTAATCTTCTTGAATCTTGGGTTTTGTCTATTATGCAAGTATTCTTGTTCAACATTTCTCTTGTTAGAGTAATGTCATGGGCTTGTCTCATGTGATTCCTAGGGGCACCAGATTGAAGATGGCATGTCAAACGCCTCGTCAGCTTGGTCGACGTCATACCTATGTACTTACATTGAAGGTTACATCCTTCGTGGGGGCAAGTGTACATGTATACAACGCTTGACTGCTGTAGAGGGTTCTCCGTCGGCTTCGGGCTGTTTTTGATAAGGAGTTCGGAAGTCTTCTTGGTTTTGTAGAATATTATCAGGTTTATGTTTTGGTTAGGAGTAGTGCTTTTTACTCCTTTACGGATTATTTCTTTCATTATTCTTTCCTCTTTTATATGTTCACTGTGCATGGTTGATTTGTAATATAATTTTATTGCGGGTGTTGTGGTTTCTGTTCTAGGTTCTGAATTATACCAACGGTCCAAGTGTCTTCTTATAGCAGCGTTTATTTCCGCGTTGCTATATCCGTTGTTCACCAATACCTGAGTTACTCTTTCAAACTCTCTACTCACGTTGCTCCATTCAGAGCAGTGGGTAAGCGCTCGACGAATATAAGCATTGAGAACACTGGCTTTGTATCTTTGGGGGCACTCACTTCTACCGTTCAGGCATAATCCTATGTTGGTGGGCTTGGTATATACGTTAGTGCTTAAAGAGGTTCCTGTTTTTGTTATTAGTACATCCAAGAATGGCAGACTGTTATTTTCACTATTTTCATGTGTAAATCGGAGTACTGACTCTCTCTCTAGGTGTCTTTTTAGGTCAATTAGTTCATCTGAGTCTTTTACTATTACGAATATGTCATCTACATAACGGCAGTATACAGTTGGTTTTTGTCTGCTACTGAAGACCCTATCTTCGATGGTTCCCATATAAAAATTAGTAAATAAAACTCCTAAGGGGGAGCCCATTGCTACTCCGTCTATTTGTAAATTGCTACTCCGTCTATTTTAGACGGAGTAGCAATTTACAAATTATAATATATATAATATAAATTTATATATATATATATATATATATATATATATATATATATATATATATATATATATATATAAAACCCAGTATATAGGCAAGACAACAACATCTCTTTCTAGGCGTTTAACGATGCATAAGCAACAGGGCTCCATTAAGGAACATATAATCTCTTCCCATAACCAAACCATCGCCAGAGAAATCCTAGTAAACAACACAGAAATCATCGATAGATACAGCGATAGCAGGCGGCTTGACGTTTGCGAGGCACTACACATCAAGAAGTCAACACCAGCAATCAACAGCCAATTATTGCACAACTATATTCTACCCACCTCAAGACTCCGCTCCAATATAGAAGCATCAAGAAATATGGACCAATAGGCTTTCTACAAACACTTCTATTCAATACCCATTGTTTCTGTTCTGTCTTGTGTTGATACTTTTAATACCCTATTAATATCCCCTCCTGTTCTGTCTTGTGTTAATGCCACATCACCCTTACCACCTCACTCAAATGTAGATATAAAATCAGAGATACGTTCTAATCAGTTGTGTATTTGTGAAGTCTTTGAAAATGTAATAAGTTTTACGAAACGCGCCCGTGTCGCGTCAGACTAGAAATAAAAATGAATTTTGGAGAAGTGATTTTTGATTTACCTCCAACAGTGAAGCGTAATGTACGAAAGATTGAGAAAATTCGTGTTAGAATTATTAATCTTACTTTTTCGGTCATATTTAATAATATATATATATATATATATATATATATATATATATATATATATATATATATATATATATATATATATATATATATATATTCAAAGACTTTAGTTTACAAACACTCAACTGAAACTGAATAGAGCTTACACATCTTCAAGTTTATATCTACATTTGGGTGAGGTGGATGAGGTGAAAACAAACTTTCAACAATGGGTATTGAATGGGTATTAAATTCAAACACAAGACAGAACACGAAACAATGGGTATTGAATGGAAGTAATTGTAGAAAGCCTATTGGTCCATATTTCTTGATGCTTCTATATTGGAGCGGAGTCTTGAAGTGGGTAGAATATAGTTGTGCATTAATTGGCTGTTGATTGCTGGTGTTGACTTCTTGATGTGTAGTTCCTCGCAGACGTCAAGCCGCCTGCTATCGCTGTATCTATCGATGATTTCTGTGTTGTTTGCTAAGATTTCTCTGGTGATGGTTTGTTTGTGGGAAGAGATTATATGTTCCTTAATGGAGCCCTGTTGCTTATGCATCGTTAAACGCCTGGAAAGAGATGTTGTTGTCTTGCCTATATACTGGGTTTTTTGAGGCTTACAGTCCCCAAGAGGGCATTTGAAGGCATAGACGACGTTGGTCTCTTTTAAAGCGTTCTGCTTTGTGTCTGGAGAGTTTCTCATGAGTAGGCTGGCCGTTTTTCTGGTTTTATAGTAAATCGTCAGTTGTATCTTCTTATTTTCGTCTGTAGGGATAACGTTTCTACTGACAATATCTTTCAGGACCCTTTCCCTCCATCACAAATGTCACCTCCATCGACATTTATATCGGCAGAAACCCCGCCAAAACACTGGCCCGTCAGGAAGGTTGAAATGGAAGTTAATATATAGGTGGAAGAGGCTATAAGAGGCTGGCAGGCGGCCGGAGCCTATAGTTGGGTCCCCTGGCTTCACCTAGAAGTCAACATGGGGTCCCCTGGCTTCACCTAGAAGTCAACATGGGGTCCCCTGGCTTCACCTAGAAGTCAACATGGGGTCCCCTGGCTTCACCTAGAAGTCAACATGGGGTCCCCTGGCTTCACCTAGAAGTCAACAGGGGGTCCCCTGGCTTCACCTAGAAGTCAACAGGGGGTCCCCTGGCTTCACCTAGAAGTCAACATGGGGTCCCCTGGCTTATCTTTATCTAGAAGTCAACATGGGGTCCCCTGGCTTCACCTAGAAGTCAACATGGGGTCCCCTGGCTTCACCTAGAAGTCAACATGGGGTCCCCTGGCTTCACCTAGAAGTCAACAGGGGGTCCCCTGGCTTCACCTAGAAGTCAACAGGGGGTCCCCTGGCTTCACCTAGAAGTCAACATGGGGTCCCCTGGCTTATCTTTATCTAGAAGTCAACATGGGGACCCCTGGCTTATCTTTATCTAAAAGTCAACATGGGGTCCCCTGGCTTATCTTTATCTAGAAGTCAACATGGGTTCCCCTGGCTTATCTTTATCTAGAATTTAACATGGGGTCCCCTGGGCTTATCTTTATCTAGAAGTCCACATGGGACCCCTGGCTCATCTTTATCTAGAAGTCCACATGGGGTCCCCTGGGCTTATCTTTATCTAGAAGTCAACATGGGGTCCCCTGGCTTATCTTTATCTAGAAGTCCACATGGGGACCCCTGGCTTATCTTTATCTAGAAGTCAACATGGGGTCCCTTGGCTTATCTTTATCTAGAAGTCAACATGGGGTCCCCTGGCTTATCTTTATCTAGAAGTCAACATGGGGTCCCCTGGCTTATCTTTATCTAGAAGTCCACATGGGGTCCCCTGGCTTATCTTTATCTAGAAGTCAACATGGGGTCCCCTGGCTTATCTTTATCTAGAAGTCAACATGGGGTCTCCTGGCTTATCTTTATCTAGAAGTCAACATGGGGACCCCTGGCTTATCTTTATCTAAAAGTCAACATGGGGTCCCCTGGCTTATCTTTATCTAGAAGTCAACATGGGTTCCCCTGGCTTATCTTTATCTAGAATTTAACATGGGGTCCCCTGGGCTTATCTTTATCTAGAAGTCCACATGGGACCCCTGGCTCATCTTTATCTAGAAGTCCACATGGGGTCCCCTGGCTTATCTTTATCTAGAAGTCCACATGGGGTCCCCTGGCTTATCTTTATCTAGAAGTCAACATGGGGTCCCCTGGCTTATCTTTATCTAGAAGTCAACATGGGGTCTCCTGGCTTATCTTTATCTAGAAGTCAACATGGGGTCCCCTGGCTTATCTTTATCTAGAAGTCAACATGGGTTCCCCTGGCTTATCTTTATCTAGAATTTAACATGGGGTCCCCTGGGCTTAGCTTTATCTAGAAGTCCACATGGGACCCCTGGCTCATCTTTATCTAGAAGTCCACATGGGGTCCCCTGGCTTATCTTTATCTAGAAGTCCACATGGGGTCCCCTGGCTTATCTTTATCTAGAAGTCAACATGGGGTCCCCTGGCTTATCTTTATCTAGAAGTCAACATGGGGTCTCCTGGCTTATCTTTATCTAGAAGTCAATATGGGGTCCCCTGGCTTATCTTTATCTAGAAGTCAACATGGGGACCCCCTGGCTTCCCCAACAAGGGGAAGCCTAACCTCTCGCCCGGGAAGGCACTCACAGGTAAGCACGACGCCGGGTTCGACAAAGACTTGGAACATCACATTAGTTAACATACAACGCAACAGGTATACTAGGCTGGCAGGCGGGGCATAAAGCGCTAGACTTCACTTCCGCCTTAATCACTGACAGGTAATGGTGTTTAAGATTCAGCTACTGGGAACAAAAGTTCCAAGTAGCACGGGCTATGGTGAGCCCGTAGTGGACTTACCTGGCACAGGAACGGGGGCTGAGACTGATAGGTAAGCACTCATAGGCCTTTATAGGCAGGACGGGTTGAATAGGGGTGGGGTGTGGGGGAGTGGGGGCAGGGAAGACAGGGGCTAGTCATCCAGCCAGCGTGCGAGGGGGTGACCGACCTCAGTTCACCTCGCTGTGCCACTCCCTCCATCATCTTCCCACCTCTTCCCTGTATTAACTGTGGCGTCGTACCTAACACTGAGTACGAGGACCACGAGGTCTTCCTCGAATCTGACCTTAAAGTTGTGGACGGAGGTGGCTTTTACGACTTCTTTCAGGCCATTCCACTTGTTGACCACTCATAGAGGGTACGAGCATTTCCATAAATTTCTAGAACTCATTTGAATTTTCAGCTTCCTCTTACGTCCTCTCGTCCTACTTTCTCTTAATTTAAAGAGACTGGCCTTGTTCATCTCGTATATTTCCATCCTCTCTATCGTGTAGATACCTCCTGGTCTCCTCTCATGGAGTAGACATCTCCTGGTCTCCTCTCATGGGGGTAGATACCTCCTGGTCTCCTCTCATGGGGTAGATACCTCCTGGTCTCCTCTCATGGGGTAGACATCTCCTGGTCTCCTCTCATGGGGTAGATACCTCCTGGTCTCCTCTCATGGGGTAGACATCTCCTGGTCTCCTCTCATGGGGTAGATACCTCCTGGTCTCCTCTCTCCATTTCCCCCTCTTCATTACCTTACATTTCTTGGGACTGAACTTTAACATCCTCTTCTGTGTTCACTCCTGGAGGTTTCCCAGACCTTCCTGAAGCTTTCTGCAGTCGTCCTCAGTTTCTACATTCATCATTAGCTTTTCATCATCTGCATACACTGACATGTATGGGCTCCCTCCCTCGGGTACATCTGGCACATAAATTAAGAACAGCAACGGACCAAGGGCCGAACCCTGTACTTCTTTCACTTTAACCCTCTGTTCTCTAGCCCTTAGGTACTCCATCACCAGTTCAGCATTTTCCCAGTTATCGCAACTCATCTATCCGACGCTAATGAAGGGCTGGTGTATCATACCAGGAGCCATGGCAGGATGTACAGAATACCCCCGTTGAAAAGCAGAGATGCAACAGGTACTCTGAGAGAAAACTCTATCAACATCAGGGCCCGAGACTGTTCAACACGCTTCCACTACACCTAAGAGGCATAAGAGACTCCACACCCCAGAAGGATTCGAGCCCCGACAGCCAGGAGCACTATGCATCATGGCGAGCCTAGTTCCTTAACCACTCGACCACTGTGACTACAAAAGTCATTGGTAGCTGAGGCTATATCCCCAACGACCCGACGGCACTTGGTGGTAAGCTTGGGCATAGATATTTCATCGAACCACCTCACTTTGTGGGGCCACGTGAGCAACACAAATGCGAACAAGCTTAAAAATCCTTCTGGGGTGTGGAGTTTTCTGTTGCATATTGGCTTGGGGACCATTCAATGCACCATTTGGTGTATAAGGGTTGGATGTCTATGCCGCTGCACATATACACACACACACACACACACACACACACACACACTCACACACACACACACACACATATATATATATATATATATATATATATATATATATATATATATATATATATATATATATATATATATATATACATATGTCGTACCTAGTAGCCAGAACGCACTTCTCAGCCTACTATGCAAGGCCCGATTTGCCTAATAAGCCAAGTTTTCATGAATTAATTGTTTTTCGACTACCTAACCTACCTAACCTAACCTAACCTAACTTTTTCGGCTACCTAACCTAACCTAACCTATAAAGATAGGTTAGGTTAGGTTAGGTAGGGTTGGTTAGGTTCGGTCATATATCTAAGTTAATTTTAACTCCAATAAAAAAAATTGACCTCATACATAATGAAATGGGTAGCTTTATCATTTCATAAGAAAAAAAATAGAGAAAATATATTAATTCAGGAAAACTTGTCTTATTAGGCAAATCGGGCCTTGCATAGTAGGCTGAGAAGTGAGTTCTGGCTACTAGGTACGACATATATATATATATATATATATATATATATATATATATATATATATATATATATATATATATATATATATATATATATATATATATATATATATATATATATAAATATATATATATATATATATATATATATGTCGTACCTAATAGCCAGAACGCACTTCTCAGCCTACTATTCAAGGCCCGATTTGCCTAATAAGCCAAGTTTTCATGAATTAATGTTTTTTCGTCTACCTAACCTACCTAACCTAACCTAACCTAGCTTTTTTTGGCTACCTAACCTAACCTTACCTATAAATATAGGTTAGGTTAGGTTAGGTACGGCTGGTTAGGTTCGGTCATATATCTACGTTAATTTTAACTCCAATAAAAAAAATTGACCTCATACATAGAGAAAAGGGTTGCTTTATCATTTCATAAGAAAAAAATTATAGTAAATATATTAATTCAGGAAAACTTGGCTTATTAGGCAAATCGGGCCTTGAATGGTAGGCTGAGAAGTGAGTTCTGGCTACTAGGTACGACATATATATATATATATATATATATATATAATATAATATATTCTTGTTGTATTGGGCTACCAGTTGACGCCTGGGGTTAAGGAAGGGTGAATGACCCTGTGATCTTGACCCGCTGTGTCCTTCACTACCACCTCCCCCTTCCCCTTCCCTCATCCCCCTTCCCCTTCCCTCCCTTCCTCGCCCCCACCCCCACCCTCACCCCCCTTCCCCTCCCTCCTCCACGTTCGTCTCTAAAGGAAGAGAAGGACTCAGTGGTGAAGACCCAGCGATACCCCTCACTCCACGCCCGTCTCTCGGGGCTGTCAGTATACCCTCCTCCACTACCTTACTCGACCCCTTCGGTAAGGCTCCGCCCGCCTGCCTCACACTACACCTTCCTCCGCCCTAAGGTAAGACTCCTCCTTACCTATTTACCTTAGGAAGCCCTTCCTATCTGCCAGGAAACTAAGGTTATACAGCAACTCGTAATACCCACTACCTATACCTCATCCTCTGAGTATTAGAGGTGGTGTATAAGTGGTGGGTGTGTATGTTGGTGTATAAGTGGTGGGTGTGTATGTTGGTGTATAAGTGGTGGGTGTGTATGTTGGTGTATAAGTGGTGGGTGTGTATGTTGGTGTATAAGTGGTGGGGTGTATGTTGGTGTATAAGTGGTGGGGTGTATGTTGGTGTATAAGTGCAGGGGTGTATGTTGGTGTATAAGTGCAGGGGTGTATGTTGGTGTATTAGTGCAGGGGTGTATGTTGGTGTATAAGTGGTGGGTGTGTATGTTGGTGTATGAGTGGTGGGTGTGTATGTTGGTGTATAAGTGCAGGGGTGTATGTTGGTGTATAAGTGGTGGGGTGTATGTTGGTGTATAAGTGGTGGTGGTGTATAAGTGGTGGGGTGTATGTTGGTGTATAAGTGGTGGGGTGTATGTTGGTGTATAAGTGGTGGGGTGTATGTTGGTGTATAAGTGGTGGTGGTGTATAAGTGGTGGGGTGTATGTTGGTGTATAAGTGGTGGTGGTGTATAAGTGGTGGGGTGTATGTTGGTGTATAAGTGATGGGTGTGTATGTTGGTGTATAAGTGGTGGGGGTGTATGTTGGTGTATGAGTGGTGGGTGTGTATGTTGGTGTATAAGTGCAGGGGTGTATGTTGGTGTATAAGTGGTGGGGTGTATGTTGGTGTATAAGTGGTGGTGGTGTATAAGTGGTGGGGTGTATGTTGGTGTATAAGTGGTGGGTGTGTATGTTGGTGTATAAGTGGTGGGGGTGTATGTTGGTGTATATGTGGTGGGGTGTATGTTGGTGTATAAGTGGTGGTGGTGTATGTTGGTGTATAAGTGGTGGGTGTGTATGTTGGTGTATAAGTGGTGGGGTGTATGTTGGTGTATAAGTGGTGGGGTGTATGTTGGTGTATAAGTGGTGGTGGTGTATGTTGGTGTATAAGTGGTGGGGTGTATGTTGGTGTATAAGTGGTGGGGTGTATGTTGGTGTATAAGTGGTGGGGGTGTATGTTGGTGTATATGTGGTGGGGTGTATGTTGGTGTATAAGTGGTGGTGGTGTATGTTGGTGTATAAGTGGTGGGTGTGTATGTTGGTGTATAAGTGGTGGGGTGTATGTTGGTGTATAAGTGGTGGGGTGTATGTTGGTGTATAAGTGGTGGGTGTGTATGTTGGTGTATAAGTGGTGGGGTGTATGTTGGTGTATAAGTGGTGGTGGTGTATGTTGGTGTATAAGTGGTGGGGTGTATGTTGGTGTATAAGTGGTGGGGTGTATGTTGGTGTATAAGTGGTGGGTGTGTATGTTGGTGTATAAGTGGTGGGGATGTGTATGCTGGTGTACATGTAGGCATATATGTGTATGTGGACGTGAAGATGTGTATGTTGGGAGTGTGTGCACTCACATTTCAATGTGAATATGCAGGTGGGAGAGTTTGAGTGCGCGTGAGAGTGTGTGTGTGTGTAGGCAGGAGGTGGTCGGGTCCCTGGCAGGTGTAGGAGTGAACACATTCCCAGGTGTGTCCCACAGGTGTGGCACACAGGTGTGTCCCACAGGTGTGGCACACAGGTGTGTCCCACAGGTGTGGCACACAGGTGTGTCCCACAGGTGTGGCACACAGGTGTGTCCCACAGGTGTGGCACACAGGTGTGTCCCACAGGTGTGGCTGTAATCAAGTTATTACACTAAAACAAAAACACAAAAGAATCCCGGGTCCAGTTAATATATTCCAAGAAACTGTATTTTGTGTGTGTATGGGGTTGGCATTGGCACCGTATCAAATGGCATTCAATTCAATTGTGCCAACCCTGATCCGACCATGATGGGCACGCGCCCTTCAGGAATCATAGTGTAAAGTTGGGGGATTATAGCCTAGAGCGTCTGGCCTCCAATCTCGGACAGACAGACTGAGAGACATTTCCATTTATGAATGTAGACGTTTTTTTTTTAAGAGCAGAGAGGCCGTGTATGGAAGTTAGACACAGTTGAACCATAGGAATATAAGGAAACATTTCTTTAACTTAATACTAATGAGTAAATTGAATACGACGGAAGATTATATAGAAGATTCAATATAAATGTGATAGAAAGCTAATGGATCGGGCACCATTGCATTAGATTACCTACAGTTGAAAAGGCGGGGCCCAAGAGCAGACGCTTGGTCCTGCAGTCACAGGTAGACGAGTATCAGAAGACAATTAGTTAAGAAACTTAAATTAAAATGATCGTAGCTCACCGGCGATTCATAACCGTTATTAACGGCTTTTAACTGTCATGACCTGATATGAATTTTAATTCTCGGGGAGTGTTTTATACCAACCGTCACTTGCGGCCCGAGCCTTCACCTCGCTGACCACACCTCTATATCCTCACCACACCTGACCTTGACCACGCCCACAACACCTCTACATCCTCACCACACCTGACCTTGACCACGCCCACAACTCCTCTACATCCTCACCACACCTGACCTTGACCACACCCACACCTGACCTTGACCACGCCCACAACACCTCTACATCCTCACCACACCTGACCTTGACCACGCCCACAACACCTCTACATCCTCACCACACCTGACCTTGACCACGCCCACAACACCTCTACATCCTCACCACACCTGACCTTGACCACGCCCACAACACCTCTACATCCTCACCACACCTGACCTTGACCACGCCCACAACACCTCTACATCCTCACCACACCTGACCTTGACCACGCCCACAACACCTCTACATCCTCACCACACCTGACCTTGACCACGCCCACAACACCTCTACATCCTCACCACACCTGACCTTGACCACGCCCACACCTGACCTTGACCACGCCCACAACACCTCTACATCCTCACCACACCTGACCTTGACCACACCCACACCTGACCTTGACCACGCCCACACCTGACCTTGACCACGCCCACAACACCTCTACATCCTCACCACACCTGACCTTGACCACACCCACACTGACCTTGACCACGCCCGCAACACCTCTATATCCTCACCACAACTGACCTTGACCACGCCCACAACACCTCTATATCCTCACCACAACTGACCTTGACCACGCCCACAACACCTCTATATCCTCACCACAACTGACCTTGACCACGCCCACAACACCTCTATATCCTCACCACAACTGACCTTGACCACGCCCGCAACACCTCTATATCCTCACCACAACTGACCTTGACCACGCCCACAACACCTCTATATCCTCACCACAACTGACCTTGACCACGCCCACAACACCTCTATATCCTCACCACAACTGACCTTGACCACGCCCACAACACCTCTATATCCTCACCACAACTGACCTTGACCACGCCCGCAACACCTCTATATCCTCACCACAACTGACCTTGACCACGCCCGCAACACCTCTATATCCTCACCACAACTGACCTTGACCACGCCCGCAACACCTCTATATCCTCACCACAACTGACCTTGACCACGCCCACAACACCTCTATATCCTCACCACAACTGACCTTGACCACGCCCACAACACCTCTACATCCTCACCACACCTGACCTTGACCACACCCACACCTGACCTTGACCACGCCCACAACACCTCTACATCCTCACCACACCTGACCTTGACCACGCCCACACCTGACCTTGACCACGCCCACAGCAGATCTTGTCCTCGCCCAGAAATGACGCGCCCACAATTGTCCTTAACCACGCCCTCGTCATACACTCATGACATTCACTCCATCATATTCCCGCCACAACAGCCAGTCACCCTGGTGCTGGTGAGTAGTGGTGGGTACAGGATAGCGGGGGGGGGGAGGGGAAGAGAGCACCCTCATGCCCCATCCCCAAGGGTTGAGGAACAGGTTGGGGTATGAGGTAGGAAGAAAGGTAGCACCCCCCTCCCATGCCCCACTGAGCGTTGCGGAACAGGTTGGGGACGTGGGTACACTGACCTCCACAAACTGGAATATACGTCCCGCTGTCGACCAATCAGCTCAGGGAAATGTATACCTCGTCTGGTTATGTAGAAGCTGTCTTTACAACCTTTAATGGTCTTGCCTAATAGTTCTTATATAGCAGAGTTTGCAGAAACAGTCTTCAGCTCCTGGGTCGTCGCGACTATCGGTCGTCTAATGCAATGATTTCTGATGGCTTTGTTTCTTCTCATATCTTCTAATGTATTTCTGATGGCTTTGTTTCTAGTCATATCTTCTAATGTATTTATGGATGGAGGAAGCCCCTGTTACTTCCCATTGTGGATGGTCCCATTTACTGGCTGTCCTGACACCCAAGACGTGTTCCTCACGTCCCTGTGGCTCACCTGTGTCTCCAGCTGCCTTAAACATGTCCTCTCGAGGCTGTGCTGCTCAACCTAAAACATTCTGTTTATCAATTTCATCGATACTCTTGAGTTTATAATGTGTGGCAAGTGAGCCCCAAATTCTGGAACCTCTCGTGTCCTTATACATGTTTCCTGCCTGTATTTTCTTACATTGTTATGTTATTACATTAGTTTAGTTTGCATTGTTGTTATTATTAATTAATATTATTATTAAAAATATTATTTTTTTCAGACTAATGCCAGGATGATGATGGTCAGTGTATTGACGCCATTGTTGGGGCTGCTGCTCTCCTTCTCCCCGGCCTCTGCCTCCTTCTCGTAAGTCATCCCCTACCACCCCAGGCACCTGCCTCCTTCTCGTAAGTCATCCCCTACCACCCCAGGCAGCTGCCTCCTTCTCGTAAGTCATCCCTACCACCCCAGGCACCTGCCTCCTTCTCGTAAGTCATCCCCTACCACCCCAGGCACCTGCCTCCTTCTCGTAAGTCATCCCCTACCACCCCAGGCACCTGCCTCCTTCTCGTAAGTCATCCCTACCACCCCAGGCCTCTGCCTCCTTCTCGTAAGTCATCCCTACATCACCACAGGCACCTGCCTCCTTCTCGTAAGTCATCCCTACCACCCCCAGCTGCCTCCTTCTCGTAAGTCATCCCCTACCACCCCAGGCACCTGCCTCCTCTAGTAAGTCATCCCCTACCACCCCAGGCAGCTGCCTCCTTCTCGTAAGTCATCCCCTACCACCCCAGGCACCTGCCTCCTTCTCGTAAGTCATCCCCTACCACCCCAGGCAGCTGCCTCCTTCTCGTAAGTCATCCCCTACCACCCCAGGCAGCTGCCTCCTTCTCGTAAGTCATCCCCTACCACCCCAGGCAGCTGCCTCCTTCTCGTAAGTCATCCCCTACCACCCCAGGCACCTGCCTCCTTCTCGTAAGTCCCTATGCCCTTCTCGTAAGTCATCCCCTACCCCAGGCAGCTGCCTCCTTCTCGTAAGTCATCCCCTACCACCCCAGGCAGCTGCCTCCTTCTCGTAAGTCATCCATACCACCCCAGGCAGCTGCCTCCTTCTCGTAAGTCATCCATACCACCCCAGGCACCTGCCTCCTTCTCGTAAGTCATCCCCTACCACCCCAGGCAGCTGCCTCCTTCTCGTAAGTCATCCATACCACCCCAGGCACCTGCCTCCTTCTCGTAAGTCATCCCCTACCACCCCAGGCAGCTGCCTCCTTCTCGTAAGTCATCCCTACCACCCCAGGCACCTGCCTCCTTCTCGTAAGTCATCCCTACCACCCCAGGCACCTGCCTCCTTCTCGTAAGTCATCCCCTACCACCCCCAGGCAGCTTTCTTCTTTTTGTCAGTCAATCCCTTTTCACGGGACACCCCTCCCTCCCCTCCCCGGCAGCTGCCTTTTTGTAAGGGGTGTTTGACTCTTGTTCCCATGACAGTAAGCTGACCCATGGTACCTGATACCAAACTTGAGTACGCCGTGAGAAAGTGTTCACAAGTTTGGTATCTGGACAAAGTAAACACTGAGGTGTCCCCACCACTCAACAGTCACCCAGTGCGGACCTCAAGTAATACTTGTATCTCGTAATATGGTTACAACCAATATTAAATAATAATTGAAATCTTAGCCTGTAAATCATTACTAGTTCCTCCATCATTAGCGTCCTTACTATCGTAAATTTTCCTTTGTACGTCGTCATTTCTCAATATTAACTATTCCACACACACACGTGATTTTCGTGTAAATGTGTACGACACTTGTGTAAACGAAGGTACAGAGTCACACTTGCGAATTACCTCACCTTGTGTGAACATTAGGTTGTGTTTTCCACAGGATGCCATCACCATGGGGCTACCAGTGCGAGTCTGGCAAGTGTCTGAAGCTGGAGAACACCGGGGTGACGAGGCTGGTGACGCTCAACCAGTGCAAGCTGACGTGCGGACCCTTTGGGGCGCTGTGGCCGCAGCCACAGACAGCGAGCATCGGAACACAAGTGGTTCACTTCCTCCCCAAAAACGTCTTCATCACCAACAGAGCTTCGGAGCAAATCTGGCCTCTGCTGAACGAAGCCTTCGACATCTTCAAAGACAACCTGGAGAAGTATCACCCGGACTACGATGGTGGTCCAGCTACCTGGGAAGAGCCCTGGGAGCCGTCGAGCGCAGCACATACCTTGAGGGTGGTGTTTAAGGTGTCTGGATTCTTAACTTACCTCAGCCTTGACACGGACGAGTCTTACGAACTCCTGATGGTGACCGTTGGCTCGACCACAACAGCTACCATCAATGCGCAGACCTTCTTCGGCGCCCGCCACGGCCTCGAGACACTCTCGCAGTTGGTGGACTACCACGAAAACCGGAAGACATTGATGATCGTCAGTTCGGCCTCCGTGTACGACGCACCAGCCTTCAAGTACCGCGGCCTGCTGGTCGACACGGCTCGTAACTTCCTTAGCGTGGAGGCCATCGAGCGCACCTTGGACGCCATGGCGGCCAACAAGCTTAACACCTTCCACTGGCACATCACAGACTCCCACTCCTTCCCGCTCTACTTGGAGAGACTCCCCAACATGGTCTACTACGGCGCCTACAGTTCCCGCGAGGTCTATCACCCGGAGGAGGTGAAACATCTGGTGGACTACGGCAGAGTGAGAGGCATCCGTGTTCTCCCGGAGTTCGATGCTCCCGCTCATGTTGGCAACGGGTGGCAGTGGGCTGAGAAGCAGGGACTAGGCAAGCTGGCAGTCTGCGTCAACAGGGTGAGTGGAGAGGCATCAGAACTTTGCATCTACCACAGTGAGCCGTTCCCTTTCTCCATTTTGTTTTTTATAACATATAATTGAGAAAAGTTAAACTATAATTGCAATATTTTTTACAGTGTGAAGCTTTCTTCTCCTCCTGCTCTATGTTCATCACATGCTTTTGTTCACTAAAGCCTTCTTCATCTGTTTCAGCTCCATCATGCACAATATCAAAGGCCTCAGTACACAATCTACTGCTTAAATACACAATTTACTGAGGCAGTAATGAGAACACTGTTTACTGCCTCAGAACTCTTATCTAATTCTTCAGAACTCTTGTCTACTGCCTCAGTACATTGTCTACTGCCTCAATACACTGTCTTCTACCTCAGTACACTGTCTACTGCCTCAATACACTGTCTACTGCCTCAATACACTGTCTACTGCCTCAGTACACTGTCTACTGCCTCAATACACTGTCTACTGCCTCAGTACACTGTCTACTGCCAGTCACTGTCTACTGCCTCAGTACACTGTCTACTGCCTCAGTACACTTACTGCCTCAGTACACTGTCTACTGCCTCAATACACTGTCTACTGCCTCAATACACTGTCTACTGCCTCAGTACACTGTCTACTGCCTCAATACACTGTCTACTGCCTCAGTACACTGTATGACACTTATTTATCCAGCATTCTATGATGCCTAAAGTGCATTTGCTCATCACTGATTTCCTGGGTTCGATTCCCCGATAAGACGAGACGTTTGGGCACGTTTCCTTACATTTGATGTCTCTATTTAACTAGCAGTAAAAGGTTACTTTGAAATTAGAATACTGTTGTCGGTCGCATTTTGATGTATTTTCAGTTATTGGCTAGAAGGGACCATATAATAACAATGACAGTCTTCTTATCCCTGACAATTGACAACTAAAGCATGCACTGGAGTTGTGTTGTGGCTTTAGATAAGCACCCTCAGCTGCTCCTTACTGATGCACAACTGTTACTGGCAGGAGCCGTGGCAGTCGTACTGCGTGGAGCCTCCCTGCGGCCAGCTCAACCTCGCCAACCCCAACATGTACCTCGTCCTAGCCCAGATCTATGAAGAAATGGCCAAACTCTTCACTCCTCTCGACCTCTTCCACTATGGCGGCGACGAGGTGGGTAAACAGAGAGGAAATGCTTCAAACGTAATCCAAAGTGTAATATATATTTTAGAGTTAATTTTGCATTACTTTATTATATTTAGAAGTGTATTTAGGGTGTAGGCGAGGACAAGTGTACACGAGCAGGAGACGAGTTCTCAGGTTCTCAGGTGGGTTGGCACTATACCGCCTCCCCGCGTTTCATGTGTGCATTTCACATACAGCATATTCTCCGTATCTCGGGACTTGTCACCACATCCTTATTACTCATTATACTTTTCTATATACTGTTTGCATACATTTGCTATGCTAGATACGTTCTAGTGGCAACCTGTTCCAGTACACAAGTAGAAACAATAGTAAATGCACTTATGTGGTCTGTGTGCAGGTGAACCTCAACTGCTGGAACACCACGGATGAGATAACAGCGTGGATGGTCGCCAACGACTTCGGGCTGGACGCCGACGCCTACTACAAGCAGTGGAGCGTTTTTCAGGAGAAGTCTCGTGAGCTCCTGACAACCGCCAACAATGGCGTCGAGGTGCCCGGCATCCTGTGGACCTCCCACCTGACGGAGAAAGGCCGCGTCGACCAATACCTCAATAAAGACAAGTACATCATCCAAATCTGGACTAACGGCTCAGATCCTCTCATCGCCGAGCTGCTCCAGAAGAACTACCGCGTTATCTTCAGCAACTACGACGCCTGGTACCTAGACTGTGGCGCTGGGGCTTGGGTGGGCGAAGGTTCCAACTGGTGCAGCCCCTACAAGGAGTGGCAGAAAGTCTACGACAACAGCCCTCACGATATAGCGCGAGACCTGACGGGTTCCACACACAAGGACCTGGTGTTGGGCGGCGAGGCAGCGCTCTGGACCGAACAGGTCGACGACGCTTCACTCGACACGAAGGTCAGTAATCAGTCTAAATGATATAGGATATTTTGTTGGTCTAAGTGGCTCTCAAATTAGGGAGGGTTCCCGGCTGAACCCGGGTCTCTCCCCCTCCCCCCTCTCCAAATCTCCCTCCTTCTCTCATTCCCTATCGGTCCCTCTCTCCTCTCCTCCACTCTTCAGTTTTCTTTCCCTCTCCTCTTCCTCCTTCCGTCTCCACCTATCTCCTCCCCCACTATCCTCCAACGTCTCTCCTCTCTGCCTGTCACACACCTCTCCACCCTCTCTCCCCATTTCCTCCTCTCCACCTGTCTCCCCCTCTCTTCTTCCCCTCTCTTCAAACATCTCCTCTTCTACCTTCCATCCCTATCTATGTCTCTGTGTTTGTCTGCCTGTCTTGCTGTCTCTGGTTTGTTTATCTGTTTCTGTTTGTCTTCCTGTCTCGCTCTCTCTCTCACTTTGCCCTGGTCGATCCGGTCCCTCTGTCTCTGTCTGTGTTTCTGTCTGTCTCTTTATAACATATCCGCAAGACTGACGACCCACGCCACCTGTCCTTACTGACACAGAACCCCCCCCCCCCCCCACACACACAAAAGCATTTCTTCCGGCTACATACAAACACCAATACACAACTAGTTACTTGGCTTGCAACATTCATGTCCTTCACAGAGGCAATATTGCAGCTCTCTGAATCTCTCACGAACTAGTTAATAACATTGCAGTGTTAATTAATGCATATATATGTACATGTGATGTGCGTGTTAAGAGGAATAACAATGTGTGTGTGTCTGTGTGTCAGTTATGGCCGCGAGGAGCCGCCCTGGCGGAGAGGCTGTGGACCAACCCGCCCACCACCTGGAGACAGGCAGAAGCCCGCTTCATCCACCACCGTCACCGGCTCCTGCGGCGAGGTGTCCAGCCCGAGCGTATCCAGCCCAAATGGTGCCACCAGAACGACGGGTTCTGTTACCTCTAGACCTTCTGCACCATTCCTTTCCCACCCATCCCCCGTCCTATCCCAGATCCTTATCCTGAACCCTTCCAATCACTTCTACAGTCTCCCGTGCTCTTTCATAACACGGGGGTCCAGTAGCACAGTGGTCGACATCCTCGACTCACAATCAAGTAGTCCGGGTTAGATTCCCGGGAGCGATAGAAAGGATTTAGGATTTGACATGTTTCCTTTCACTTGATGCCTCTGTTCACCTAGCACTAAATAGGTACCTGGGAGTTAAGGCAAATCTTGTGAGTCGTGAAGTAGGTCAGTAGTTGACCTTGGGGGAACTCGATATATGCCTAAGCACAGGCTTATTATCCCCCTTTCAACGGGACTTATAATTATATTCGCCAACACCCTACTAAATCATTCCACACCCTGTCATACACTCCCACACCCTGTCATACACTCCCACACCCTGTCATACACTCCCACACCCCTGTCATACACTCCCACACCCTGTCATACTCTCCCACACCCTGTCATACTCTCCCACACCCTGTCATACACTCCCACACACTGTCATACACTCCCACACCCTGTCAAACTTTCCCACACCCTGCCATACACTCCCACATCCTGTCATACACTTCCACACCCCTGTCATACACCCCCACACCCCTGTCATACACTCCCATACCCTCTCATACACTCCCACACCCTGTCATGCACTCCGACACCCTGTCATACACTCCCACACCCTGTCATACACTCCCACACCCCTGTCATACACTCCCACACCCTGTCATACACTCCCCACACCCTGTCATACACTCCCACACCCTGTCATACTCTCCCACACCCTGTCATACACTCCCACACTCTGTCATACACTCCCACACCCTGTCAAACTTTCCCACACCCTGCCATACACTCCCACATCCTGTCATACACTTCCAGACCCCTGTCATACACCCCCACACCCCTGTCATACACTCCCATACCCTGTCATACATTCCCACACCCTGTCATGCACTCCGACACCCTGTCATACACTCCCACACCCTGTCATAAACTCCCACACCCCTGTCATACACTCCCACAACCCCTGTCATACACTCCCACACCCTGTCATACACTCCCACACCCTGTCATACACCCCCACACCCCTGTCATACACTCCCACACCCTGTCATACACTCCCACACCCTGTCATACACTCCCACACCCCTGTCATACAATCCCACACCCTGTCATACACTCCCACACTCTGTCATACTCTCCCACACCCCTGTCATACACTCCCACATCCTGTCATACACTCCCATACCCTGTCATACACTCCCACACCCTGTCATATACTCCCACACCCTGTCACACACTCCCACACCCTGTCATACACTCCCATACCCTGTCATACACTCCCACACCCCTGTCATACAATCCCACACCCTGTCATACACTCCCACACTCTGTCATACTCTCCCACACCCCTGTCATACACTCCCACATCCTGTCATACACTCTCATACCCTGTCATACACTCCCACACCCTGTCACACACTTCCACACCCTGTCATACACTCCCACACCCTGTCATACACTCCCACATCCTGTCATACACTCTCACACCCTGTCATACACTCCCACACCCTGTCATATACTCCCACACCCTGTCATACTCTCCCACACCCCTGTCATACACTCCCACATCCTGTCATACACTCTCACACCCTGTCATACACTCCCACACCCTGTCATACACTCCCACACCCTGTCATACACTCCCACACCCTGTCATACACTCCCACAAGTTGTGGACAAAGTGGGTGAAGGGTGATGCTACTCAACAAAGTCACTATATAGAGACTAATCAAAAGTTAAAATCTCAAGCGACTCACAATTATAACAATAACCAATAAGGAGGTCAATGTCTCATCAATAACATCAAACAAACACAAGTCACTGAATTTATGAAACACTTTGCCTTCAGAAAACTAAGTCCCAACTGGACTGGCAAATGACAAAGTCAAAAAAGTTCCTCTCAAAAGTCAAGTCCACAATGGCATGACAAAAAACGACTAAGTCCCCTACAAGGGGAAACTATAAGAAACGTCCATTCACCACGAGAGTACAAATTTTAAAATCTCACCTTAGTAGTAGATTGTCTCCAAGCCAAGATATATATATATGGTCAATAGAGCTCAAGACGTCCATGTTAACATAACCAATTCCTGAGGACGAATTAAAGTCTGGGAGGGGTTGGGGGGGGGGGGAGGCTGGTCAGAGTCCACAGGTCAACTGAACAACACAACGGACCAGAACATAACATGTTCCCTCGGGGGTAGTGAAAAAGAAATCATAAAATACATGAAAGTAAATAAAGTTTTCTCGTAAATATACCCAGTTGTTTGGTTCACACAAAAATAAAAAAAAATGAGTAAATTGAAATACGCTCCAGCACCCTGCTAAACTATGCAGTATGCCCCGGTCAACACAGCAACACGGTCAGTCAACACTATGCAGTTTGCCCCGACAAGCTCTCTACATGCTGCTGCGGTGAGATCTGCAGATACAGGCGTGCCATAAGGATGGGTGCCTGTGGACGGGGCCAAGTACACCGGTCCACACCCACCTAGTCCCTCATGCCCCGTCAACACCCTCCCTCGTGGCCTCACATAACCTCATGCAGTCTCCGGAGCCTGAAGCGGGACCAGCGTGACCCTGCGCTCTGATCAACACTCTCGAGAACTCCTGCCCGAGCCATCTACAGCGTCTACAGCTTTCTTCCCGTGAACTCAGCCGGGCGTGTGTGTGTTGTGTAGTTGTGTACCCACACTAAGGGCGTCCCTGAGGGCGTCTTCCCTGGGAACATCGTCCCTGGGCATCCCTAGCACCGGCGTCGCCCCTGGGAGAGCAGCCAGTGACAACTACAAGGCATTTTCTGATTTGTATTAAAAATAATATACACCAAATTTGATCGTGGTATGTCTAGCCCAGCTGTATATACATTACTGCGCCCCATACACCTCTCTAGCACGGAATATCAGAGCTGCGCACATCTTTATTATCCCAAATTAATTGACGTGTGAAGAAGTGAACAAATATATCTCCTGAAAGTAACAATCCGGATGGCTGAGTGACGAACACGTAGCCCGGTTGTTGTTGTTGTTAAAGATTTAGCTACTCAGGACGAAGTGTCCATGTAGCACGGGCTATGGTGAGCCCGTAAGGTAGCCCGGGTTGTGATTGTCTCTTGTTCACCGTGTGTATATAACCCGGCTGGCACTCTACTGCATTATGAGACCGTCAGTCGGAGCCATGACGGGGACTCGAACCTATACTCTGGGTACTCCCAAGCAGAAGAGCATTCAGTGGAATCCCAGGTTACAGTGCTTTTGCCCATGTCATGGTGTAGTGGTTTAAGGCGCGTGCACGGCAGTACTCAGGGTGCAGCTCCTAATGGGATTAACATGACCTTAATCAAATTTGTTGTAATCATTACATTATATTAATTTACACTCAATTTTGTCAGAATGAATTACCTGCCATTACATACAGAAGACACTAAGGAATACAACGTATGAGTCAAGAGCCAGGTATAAGTTCTTCTTCTTCTTGAGAATAGGTGCAGTTTGCACGAACGGGTAACCCTCCCGATGACTGCACCAGAACAGATGTAAGGAGACGCGTTGATGATGAGGAGGAGAAGAAAGTCAAAAGCGGTAGATGTGATGGGCCGTAGAGAGAGGAGTGGCGACGAAAACAGAGGCGAACGTTAGAGGGAGACTCCCCGCACCGGGGGGCGGGGAGTCGTGGTCACGGCGGCAGCTGATCCAGGCACGGCGTAGCCGTGTGCGCAAGATGGGAACTAATACTTCTCCGGAAACTTGCGTATCGGAAAGCGCAAGCAGTACGCTTCCCAAATCACCCACAGGTCGGCGGGCAGCCGGCCATCAGGCAGTACCCTCGGCTGAGACATCCTATCCGGCACCCTATAAACAAACACCTTCTCAGACGATACCCAGATAGTGGACGAGCACCATGGGATCGGAAGCACCCGGGCATCCCAATAAGGGCCCAACTCCGGACCCTCACAGGGCACGACCCCAGCAGACGGGACTAGGCAACCACCAGACCGGGGCAATGAAAGAGGGGGAACAGCAGGGGATGCAGGCGCGGCAGCGACCCCACCACAGGGCACAGGAGCCGAGGCCCCCCGGCGCACATCTTTCCGCAACATCACGACGAGGTCCCGATCATCAGGGACAACCCCCCCACTGCGGGGATCCAACAGCAGGTGACACAGGTAGCAACTTCGGAGCCCCGCACAGTACCATCATCCACGGCGGGGGACGCCAGCTGAGCACCATACTCCCCCACCTCCTCCTAAGGCACACCACGATGGGGAGACACACTCCGAGCCCGCCGCGAACGCTTCGAGACAGGCCGCACCACACCACGCCCAGCAGGCCCCTCCGCAGGCACGGCCACCATCGTTACATCCACACAGGATGTATATGTAAATGATCTCCCAGAGGGTATAGATTCGTTCCTCTCAATGTTTGCCGACGATGCAAAAATTATGAGGAGGATTGAAACAGAGGATGATAGTAGGAGGCTACAAGATGACCTGGATAGACTGAGTGAATGGTCCAACAAATGGCTGTTGAAGTTCAACCCGAGTAAATACAAAGTAATGAAACTAGGCAGTGGAAACAGGAGGCCAGGCACAGGATACAGAATAGGAGATGAAGTACTTAATGAAACAGACAGAGAGAAAGATCTAGGAGTTGATATGACACCAAACCTGTCTCCTGAAGCCCACATAAAGAGAATAACGTCTGCGGCATATGCGAGGCTGGCTAACATCAGAACGGCGTTCAGGAACCTGTGTAAGGAATCATTCAGAATCTTGTACACCACATATGTAAGACCAATCCTGGAGTATGCGGCCCCAGCATGGAGCCCGTACCTTGTCAAGCACAAGACGAAGCTGGAAAAAGTCCAAAGGTATGCTACTAGACTAGTCCCAGAACTAAGAGGCATGAGTTATGAGGAAAGGCTGCGGGAAATGCACCTCACGACACTGGAAGACAGAAGAGTAAGGGGGGACATGATCACAACCTACAAAATCCTCAGGGGAATCGACCGGGTAAACAAGGATGAACTATTCAACACTGGTGGGACGCGAACAAGGGGACACAGGTGGAAGCTGAGTACCCAAATGAGCCACAGAGACGTTAGAAAGAACTTTTTCAGTGTCAGAGTAGTTAGTAAATGGAATGCATTAGGAAGTGATGTGGTGGAGGCTGACTCCATACACAGTTTCAAATGTAGATATGATAGAGCCCAATAGGCTCAGGAATCTGTACACCAGTTGATTGACGGTTGAGAGGCGGGACCAAAGAGCCAGAGCTCAACCCCCGCAAGCACAATTAGGTGAGTACAATTAGGTGAGTACTGGCCACACCCGCACCGTCCGAAGAGTCCACAGAGGCCACATCACCCACACTGTCTACATCATCCACGGAAACAGCCTCAGAACACCGACGTGCACGCTTCTGCAAAGGGATGGAAAGAGCAGAACTACAGTCGTTAACACACACAGGCACGGCAGGCACCTCACCTTGCCGAAGCACCCCCTCCAAAACAGCAGAACCCGCGTCCCCGGGAGCCGTTACCACATCCACAGGCGGGGGTGGGACATGAACCTCCACCGGGACACCCTGCACTACACGCAGCGCAGGCGACGCCCCGTCACCCTCACACACCGGCTCAACCACCCCAGGAGCCACAGCAGTCACCTGACGTGTCGCACGGGCCAGAGAACTCGCCTCAACAGGCGAAGCAGCAGACAGGCAGTCAGGCGCCTCAGGCACAGCACCCACACCGTCCGAACGCAACAGGGGCGGAAAATCCTCCGCACGAAGAACATGCACCCTACCCCGACCAGTTGCTCCCACGTCGCACGCCGCAGCCAGATCACTCTATAGTAAATCACTTCTTTTCTTCACCTTAAAAGTACGAAAATGAGTTTTGGAGAACTCCTATTCCAATTAAGCCCTGATGCTAAGAAAATAGTTAGAGGGATAGAAGCCCTAAACCAAAAAATAATAAATACAGAATATGCGGTCATATTCAATGAAACATGTTTGAAAGAAAACCTGCTGCCAGTATACACCAATATATATATATATATATATATATATATATATATATATATATATATATATATATATATATATATATATATATATATATATATATATATGTCGTACCTAATAGCCAGAACGCACTTCTCAGCCTACTATTCAAGGCCCGATTTGCCTAATAAGCCAAGTTTTCATGAATTAATGTTTTTTCGTCTACATAACCTACCTAACCTAACCTAACCTAGCTTTTTTTGGCTACCTAACCTAACCTTACCTATAAATATAGGTTAGGTTAGGTTAGGTAGGGTTGGTTAGGTTCGGTCATATATCTACGTTAATTTTAACTCCAATAAAAAAAATTGACCTCATACATAGAGAAAAAGGTTGCTTTATCATTTCATAAGAAAAAAATTATAGTAAATATATTAATTCAGGAAAACTTGGCTTATTAGGCAAATCGGGCCTTGAATAGTAGGCTGAGAAGTGAGTTCTGGCTACTAGGTACGACATATATATATATATATATATATATATATATATATATATATATTATATATGTCGTACCTAGTAGCCAGAACTCACTTCTCAGCCTACTATTCATGGCCCGATTTGCCTAATAAGCCAAGTTTTCCTGAATTAATATATTTACTATAATTTTTGTATTATGAAATGATAAAGCAACCCTTTTCTCTATGTATGAGGTCAATTTTTTTTATTGGAGTTAAAATTAACGTAGATATATGACCGAACCTAACCAACCCTACCTAACCTAACCTAACCTATATTTATAGGTAAGGTTAGGTTAGGTAGCCAAAAAAAGCTAGGTTAGGTTAGGTTAGGTAGGTTAGGTAGACGAAAAAACATTAATTCATGAAAACTTGGCTTATTAGGCAAATCGGGCCTTGAATAGTAGGCTGAGAAGTGCGTTCTGGCTATTAGGTACGACATATATATATATATATATATATATATATATATATATATATATATATATATATATATATATATATATATATATATATATATATATATATATATATATATATATATATATATATATATATATATATATATATATATATATATATATATATATATAATGTCTTAATGGCGTGGCGCTTTCTCCTTACATTTCTCCCTTCCCTTCCCGGGCGGGACAGACTGGTTGGGCGCGTTTGCTATTACCTAATGTTCCTGTTCACCTAGTAGTAAATAGGTACCCAGAATTAGTCAGCTTGCTGTGTGGTTGCATCCTGGGGGGGGGGGTATATAATTCGACCCGGAGGTGGGGGGGGGGGAAGGAATCGATATAAGCCTAACATGTACAGTAGGTATAGACAGACTGCAGCCTGTCCCCGACACAATGAATTCAAACAAACAAAGCAAAGAGGCGTCCAAAATAAAAATGAAGCTATCTGGGAAAATGGGGTTCACAATAAACTACCACTCACAGGATGAGTATGGGGTGCACAATAAACTACCACTCACAGGATGAGTATGGGGTGCACAATAAACTACCACTCACAGGATGAGTATGGGGTGCACAATAAACTACCACTCACAGGATGAGTATGGGGTGCACAATAAACTACCACTCACAGGATGAGTATGGGGTGCACAATAAACTACCGCTCACAGGATGAGTATGGGGTGCACAATAAACTACCATTCAAGGATGAGTATGGGGTGCAGAATAAACTACCCCTCACAGGATGAGTATTGGGCATGGGTCCCACCAAAATGGTGGGACTTTCGACAAGCCGCCGGCTTCCTGTCCTCGTCGAGGCCACTACCACTAGTGGCCCTCGGGTGATGTGGTTTATTTGTGCGCCGGTACGTTTGATGTGGCATGTAATTAACATGCCATTATCTGATTAATTAATGCCATTAACATTAATTAACTGATCTTGCCCGAAACACTGTGTGTATTAGTGGCATTAGTATTGTATGTACTAGCTCTATATGTAAATCCAACATTATGTTTGTAACTCATCTTCTATGTATGTACTTTTTACCTGAATAAACATTTGAATTTTATTTGCAATTGTTTATGCCAGGTGAGAGAGAGATAGAGAGAGAGAGAGAGATTAAGCCACCCAAAAGGTGGCATGGGCATGAATAGCCCATAAGTGGTGGCCCTTTTGAGCCATTTCCAGTATCAATAGATGATACTGGAGATCTATGGAGGTGCGACTGCACCCTGCGTGACGGGAGATGTCTCCCGTGTTATGCCAGGTGTAACAGCTCTTTTAAGAACTGGAGGTAGGTACCCTTGCTTGTTTGAGGATATCAGGAGAAGTATGACACTAAAGATTTGTTGAATAGTCAATTTCTTTCAATATTATGCACCCCATACCTATCCCGTGGGCGGTGGTGTAAAGGATTACAGAGGCACATAATCGGTTCAGGAACTGAACGTTAAATAGTAGAGCTATGAGCGGCACTCTTGTATATCATAGTTGGTTGGCGATGAGTCACAATAACGTGGCTAAAGTATGTTGACCAGACCACACACTAGAAGGTGAAGGGAAGACGACGTTTTGGTCCGTCCTGGACCATTCTCAAGTCGATTGTCTATGTGGTGGCAGCACATTGCGTGTATACCTAATTTTGCTAAAAAAAAAAAAAGGATAGTGTGTGTTGTAGAGGCTTAAAAGTGGTTATCTTCTTGAGGTTATCTTGAGATGATTTCGGGGCTTTAGTGTCCCCGCGGCCCGATCCTCGACCAGGCCTCCACCCCCAGGAAGCAGCCCGTGACAGCTGACTAACACCCAGGTACCTATTTTACTGCTAGGTAACAGGGGTGAAAGAAACTCTGTCCATTGTTTCTCGCCGGCGCCCGGGATCGAACCCGGGACCACAGGATCACAAGTCCAGCGTGCTGTTCGCTCGGCCGACCGGCTCCCTTAGGAAGGTGAGGATGATCTCGATTAATGAATAGTATAGTTTACTAAACTATGCATTCTAATGGATAGACTAGACTGTACATTATATACAATCTCCTTGTAAAGTCCTTAATTTCTTCCTCTAATTAAATATTGTTACTTGTGTTTATTTATGTCTCGTGTCCCACGCTTCCGGGTCCCCGGCAGTGCTACAGATGTGCACTACGTCGCTATTATTTCTTTTCAGTCTATATCGCCCCATTAAAATGTATATGTATATAAAAAAATACACATACTTATATATGACATAAAATGTAATTCACCAAATAAAAACAGTTGAGAGTTGTCCAAGAGAACGCATGGGTAGCTCAACTAGGAAGTTCCGTAACTGTCCATAGTACGGTAAATGCATCCTTGACTGCCTTGACCTTCTGAGACGGTGGGTGAAGCTTCCAACACAACTCACTATATGTATTTATGTGTTTGTATAGACCAATATGTCAACTCCGAGGTATTTATCAAGTATGGACGTTCATTTGTAACCGGTTCATATATAATTTCTTATTTCTTAATTTATTTTTCTGGTTTAAGTTCTTTAACTATCTGCCATATGTTTATTATGGCTTCATATGAATCGCGTTTATCTGAAGACTAGTAAGTGTACGTTAATAAATATAGCCTTGCGGATTTATATGCATTTAATACGAATTTTAGGCAGGTATAGAGCGATACATTCGATACATTCAGATATTGCAGTGTGCATGGATTTCCGCTTCCTCATATTTATATATAGGTGTTTGGTTAACTATATGTGTACTTTTGCACCAAACGCAAGCAACAGAGTGGCGAGCTTTATGGCTTTATTTCAAGCATGTGTTTAACTATTGTGTATATTTAAACAAAAAAATATTTTGACAGGAAGTAAAATGTTAGGTGTAAATTTTGACGTAGTGGCAGGGTGCCGACACTCTCCCACTCACAAGACACATTATTATAGTCGTATGTTTTGCGTTTTTTTTTTTGTATATACAAAAAGGAACATTCGGTTTGTGAGAGTACATAACGTTGGTGTTTTTACATTCTTGAAAAACCATGGAAGAATACTAGAATGGATAACACAATGGTTAAAACAAAGAAAATAGAGTTGTGCTAAATGGTAATGAATCTGACTGGAGAAATATGGTAATTGGGGTACCACAAGGGTCCATTTAGGGATCAACCCTGTTTGTCATATACATTAATGGCATAGATGAGAATATTACAAAACACATCATCAAATTTGCAGATGACACAAAGATTTATGGCAAAGTGGGAATTGATAATGATGTAGCCTTACGAAGATCTATCTACAGGAACTCCATAAATGGTCAGATGACTGGCAAATGCTTTTTAATATTTACAAATGCAAGACCCTTGCATGTGGTGCACAACAACCCACACCACAATTACCAAATTAATAACATTACATTGCAGCAGATTAATGAGGAAAAGGACCTTGGAGTCAAGATGCACCACTCACTGAAAGTTGCACAGCAGGTAAAAAAGCTAACCAAACACTTGGAATAATCAAACGTACCTTTAATTTCAAGGACAAGAAGGTAGCGATTCAATTTTTTTTAATTGCACAAATCTCTGGTGCGCCTCCATTTGGATTACTGTATTCAGACATGGAGACCTCATCTTCAGAGGGACATACCTGCTCTGGAGAAAGTGCAACACCGGGCAACAAAAATCATTCCAGAACTTAGTCAACGCACGTATCAGTAACGGTTGAGGGCCACAGGGCTAACAACAATATAAACCAGGCAGAACAGGGCGGATTTTATTGAAACGTTTAAAATACTGAAGAAATTGGAGGATGTGGATCTGGATTTTTTCAAAAGGTCAGATGTAACACAAACAAGGAGCAACGGGTTCAAGCTCAACAAGCCACAATGTAGGACTGAGAAAAGGAAGTGCTTTTACACCCACATGGTTATTAACCTATGGAACCGCCTACCCGCCGAAGTCGTTAATGCCAAAAAACTGTTGGGTTTTAAAGTCCAGGTGGAAAGAATCATCAAGGCAAATGGGGGGGGGGGGGACCTCAGACAATCCGCCGGCTTCCTGTCCTCGTCGATGCCACTAGTGCTAGTAACTTTAGTAAACTCATGGAAAACAAGCATATCGTTTCGGGCAGGGCCTGAATTACTCTTAACAGATAATTATTGACTGTAGATGCTTCTCATCTACATTCTTGTATTATGTTGCTATACAGAGTGCGTTGAGGGATTATACAGTGTTGAGGGACTATACAGATTGTATTGAGGGACAATACAGTGTGTTGAGGGACTATACACAGTGTGTTGAAGGGTTATACAGTGTGTTGAGGGATTATACAGTGTGTTGAGGGATTATAGAGAGTGTGTGGAGGGATTAAACAATGTGTTGAGGGATTATAGAGAGTGTGTGGAGGGATTAAACAGTGTGTTAAGGGATGATATATACAATAGTGTACTTGTTAAGGGAGGAATTATATTTAGAGCGTGTTGAGGGATTATATTAAGAAGGGTGTTGAGGGATTATATATAGTATATGTTGAGGAAGTATACAGTGTGTGTGATGAGAAATTATACAAGAGTGTGTTGAGGAAGTATACGGGTGTGTGTGCGTTAAAAAAGGACCTGCCCGAAACGCTATGCGTGTTAGTGGCTTTGCAAGAATGTAAAAAAAATAACAATCTTATGTAATCTCACCAACCCATTGTATCTTCTTGCGAATAAATGATGATTATTATTAAGGCGTGTAGAGGAGGCATAGAGTGTGGGCAGCCTGGGACGGTGTTGGCAAACATGGAGCAGACCTCAATGTAAACACCTCGCCAGCCTCCTGCTTCGCCTCGCACATTCTCAGCGCCAAGATGCAATCCCTCGACCCTCATAATGGAAAGAACTTCTGGAAGAAGAATAGCAAGTCTGTGCCGGGGAGGTAGGTGGAGAGTGTGGCCGGACCTGGTTTGGTCTGGCCTGGCCGGACCTGGTTTGGTCTGGCCTGGTCGGACCTGGTTTGGTCTGGCCTGGCCGGACCTGGTTTGGTCTGGCCTGGTCGGACCTGGTTTGGTCTGGCCTGGTCGGACCTGGTTTGGTCTGGCCTGGCCGGACCTGGCCTGGTCCTGCCTGGCCGGACCTGGTCTGGTGTAGCTTGACAAGTTCTGGTCCGGTGTGACTTGGCCACTCCTGGTCTGGTCTAGCTTGGCAAGACCTGGCCTGGCCTGTTGTTCCTCCTGGCATACAATTCTCTATGGTTAAAAAGGGAGTTACCTGCCTTATTTCATGTTGGGTACATCTTGTCAGGGACTTTAGGATGTTCAGTCATGAGTAATTTGTACAGTCGGATTCGTTCTTGACTCACAATTTAGAATTCCATGTTATATCAGGCCGCCAGAACCCTTTTAGACCTCTGAAACTCCCACATATAAATATTGGTCCAGGATATGTTAACGAACACAGCCAAAAGAGTGGCATATTTCCTAACATCGTGGACACAAGGGTTATCTTGATATGATTTCGGGGCTTTAATGTCCCCGCGGCCCGGTCCTCGACCAGGCCTCCACCCCCAAGAAGCAGCCTATGACAGCTGACTAACACCCAGGTACCTGTTTTTACTGCTAGGTAACAGGGGTATAGGGTGAAAGAAACTGCCCATTGTTTCTCACCGGCGCCCGGGATCGAACCCAGGACCACAGGATCACAAGTCCAGCGTGCTGTTCACTCGGCTGACCGGCTCTCTACTGCAGCCTGCAGGGTAGACTGCAGGCTAGCTACATTTTATGACAATGCGGATGACCTGGGAAAGACGAGCCTTTTGAATAGGGGATCAAGGAAACAGGATCAACCCACATAGCATCCACTGAAGCAGACTCAGTGGCACGAAGGTAGTGGCAGAGAATCGCCACCAAACAAACCATGCCATGGTTTTTTAGGACGCAATTTCTGTTGAACCAGTTCTTTTTTACTATTTCTGCAACTCTGTTGTGGTATAAATGATTTTGTGTCTTCATCATTTATCTCACAAAACTTGACATACATCTCATTTATTTCCTTGCCTAACAACGTCTTTCCAATCAAATTTGTTAAAGAACCTTCTACGTTTCCCTATAGTGTCCTCTCCTGAAATCATATTTTTTAACTGATTTATTTTGCTTATTCTTTTCTAGATTATAGCGCATTGCATATTGACAAAAGGACACGTTTGCTCTTTCCTCTAGGGGGTGGAGGGGGGGGGAAAGAATAAAGTAATGTCAAGTATCTCTTCTTCTTTCTTGGCAAATATCATTGAATAGTCACACACAGAGATCACACTAATGTGATGCATCAAATGAACAAATCCACAAGGGCCGTGACGAGGATTCGAACCTGCGTCCGGGAGCATCCCAGACACTGCCTTAATCGACTGAGCTACGACAGGGTTAAAAGGGTTGAAACCGAAGTTCTACTAAACTTGCTGGATCCCGTAGCCTCTCCGAGGCACAAACCAGGATTTTACACAACCCCCCCCCCCCCCCCTGCACCCGAGCTATGTCAATAGGCCGTTCTCCCTCTTCGCCCTTACATCATCACACACAGAGATCACACTAATGTGATGCATCAAATGAACAAATCCACAAGGGCCGTGACGAGGATTCGAACCTGCGTCCGGGAGCATCCCAGACACTGCCTTAATCGACTGACCTACGACAGGGTTAAAAGGGTTGAAACCGAAGTTCTACTGAACTTACTGGATCCCGTAGCTTCTCCGAGGCCGAAGAGGGAGAACGGACTATTGACATAGCTCGGGTGCAGGGGAAGGGGGTTGTGTAAAATCCTGGTTTGTGCCTCGGAGAGGCTCCGGGGTCCAGTAAGTTCAGTAGAACTTCGGTTTCAACCCTTTTAACCCTGTCGTAGCTCAGTCGATTAAGGCAGTGTTTGGGATGCTCTCGTACGCAGGTGCGAATCCTCGTCACGGCCCTTGTGGATTTGATCTTTGAATAGTATTGATACATGAACAGCCTCAGGATGAGGTTTATGAATCTGCCAGTCAAAAAGTCCTCCATTTTTGCTTCGTAGGCCTCCCAGTCTATGGATTTAAAGTTGAAGTCACCAAGTGCCAACAGTGGTGACCTATCTTTTTCTACTCTTACTACAATATAGGTCTCTGTCTCATGATGGTTATAAGGTCGATCATGATCATTCACCATCCAGCTCCTCTGTCCATGTGATGCTGGTAGACTGTAGGCACTTATGATTATCAGTTTATCATTCTGGTTACAAATCTAAGGTGCCATTATGTCAATTTCTTGTGAATTGTCAATTTCTGCTTTGTTTACCATTAGGTGTTCTTTCACCAGCATGGTACTGCCTCCACCTTGCATAATTTTTCTATCACATTTCCAAATTGAGTAGCCCCTCAGGAATACAAACTCATTTTAAATATTTTCTTTGAGTTTGTTAGTGGAACAATATCTGGCATCCTAAGCTGTATTATATTATTTAACTCCAGTAATTTTTCTCTCTCTCCATCTGTGTTAGCACAGTATATACAATTTTCAGGAACATGGCCCCTCTTCTTTTGTCTTTTATTATCCCTTTCTTTAATGATTTTTCCGATTTGCTTTTTTGTACCATTTTACAGGCTTTTCGATCCTTATTACCTTGTAGAACATAATAATTGATTTCTTCTACATTCCATCTCTCATTTAAACGTTTTGCTTCAAGGAGGATCAGTTTCAGCTTCTCATTGTTTTCCATTAAAAGATCTTGTCTTAATGACCTTAATTTCCCATCCACTTTGTGTAATTTTCAAAGTGTATAAGTTCCAGAGTGTATTGGGCTCTGTCGTATTGGGCTATGTCCATCTCTTTAAGGTGGTCATTGCTGGCTCTACTGATAGAGTTGAACGGGGTTTAATAATAGGGCAGGTCAAAGAGATGACTTGGTCATCACATTAATGTAACATACGCGTAATGTTTCTGCGAAATATAATAAAAGTAGGATCCCATAATTGTTTGAAGCGTAGGGTAGACATATATATGAATGAGATTGCGTGAATATAAATAGGAGCTGCCTCTTGTGGGCCAATAGGCCTTCTGTAGTTACCTTCATTCTTATGTTCTTATATCTACTTTGAAAGCTGTGAAGGGAGTTTGTCTCCACCAGCTATGTGGTACTGTATTTGAATGTCATGTCAAATTTGTGGTATGAGAGAGGGCTGCAGATTAATCTGACATGTCCCTGAGGTAAGCAGTACCATATTTCCTTTGTGCTTTCTCCAGCAGTATGAGTGTATATTAAATGTCATATTGTCAAATCAGTGTCAAAATGTTTATTATAATTTATAAGAAGAGTTTGGTTGCCAAGGGCTGATATTTGTTGTCAGTAAAGATAATACAATCCTGTTATAGTTGTTCTTCATAAACCTTTACTTTTAAACATTACTAGGGCATATATATACTGTATATCTTTAATACATGTAACATTTTATTGATTTGCCAGCATGTGTGTGTGTTGGTTAATTTTGTGTATCAGTGGTAGGACAGTTTATATCAAAACTTATTATTAATAACGGTTATACTTAACTGTTGACTGAATTATCAGCCTGTTTTGGGGTTATGCTTCTGTGGAGTGTGTCATTTGTTAATGGGAATGCTGCTTCGGATTTTATTGCTTGCCCTTATATCTTGGAACACACGACACTGTATTAGTCAGTCTGAATGATATAGTTACCAAATAAATGAGAATACCGAGGCTTTGCTATGCAATAGTTGAAAGGCTTCGTATTCATCATATTTATGTCTTGGTTTGACGTGCAAGTGGTAGCAAATGTGTCGGTCAGTCAGCTAAGCATGCCACTGTTTGAGAATGACTGATGTCATTATTTTTGTTTGTATTTCAGCATGCGAGCTGTGTATGGCGCCATGCATCCTCCCATTACACGCTCACCAAAGTAAGGCCTCCTCTGATGACAACCTCAAGTGGTAGCTAGCTATGTAGTGAAGCACAGAGTGATAGCTAGGCATGTCAGGAAACGTATTGAGAGAAACAAAGTGAAGTTTGCCCTTAGATAAAATAATTTACTAGATATGTATACCTTCTTAAGCAACAACTAAGGATGTGCTGTACTTTTTAGTGTGTGTAGTGTATGAGACCCAGGTACTTAGTGGAACACCAAGTACAGTACCTGGTGTAGTGTATGAGACCCAAGTACTTAGTGGTACACCAAGTACCTGGTGTAGTGTATGAGACCCAGGTACTTAGTGGTACACCAAGTACCTCAGTTGATTGTTACAGTACTGTTGGAGGGTATAATATCTTTGCATAGCTAATTTTCTTGGCAAATAATAGTTTTATTTAGTATACATTTTTCTTGAGCTACAGCATTTCAACAGTGGACATTTGGATGGCAATGTGCTTAGACCTCGCTGCTCTTTAAGTAGATGGATAATAGATATAGATAGATTGAAAGTGTCATTGCAATTGTGCTATCCGTATGCTCTTCTTAGTCAATTGTTTTGCTTAGTTTATTTATGGATTAACAATAATTAATACAGAATATTTAACAGAAATTCATATTGATGACTTGTATGTTTTCAAGGTCGAGCCCACGTAAGGAGGGCGCACAGAGGAAACCTGAGGTGAGCGATAGTTTCCAGGATTACCAGGAATCGGTCAACGATGCTTGGGATTGTGGGGATGATGAGTTCTGCGTTATATCAGGTATTTAATCTAGAAATACCAAGTGTTTGATGTTAAATAGAAATAGTTAAGTAGAAATAAGTAAATGCCTACATTATATTTATGAGGCTCTTCCCACATGATAGATTGTTTTATTTCTTATGAAGGAGTTAAATTGAAGGCTTTTGAATTTAATATATTTTTTATGTTTCAGTTGCAGATAAATTTTATAGATAATTTATTAAATTTTACCGTATAAATTGAGAATTTCTAAGCTTGTTTTTGAAGAGGTGTTCTGAACTTGATGTCAGGAAATATTGCCCCACTTACCTGTCAGCTGTTAGTGTATATTTAGTGGTTTCATCTTTGGTAATTGTTCCAGATGTGAAAATATCAAATCGCATGGTTCAGTCTGCCGCATTAAGTGTGATCAATAGCCATCGATCCAGGCAGCTGCCACCTCACAACTTAGCCGAACTTCACAATCAGCTCCAGCCTACCATAGCCTGCTCAGATGCACATGCAACAGAAATAGTCTCTCACCCAGTGGTCAACAATATTCACTCCTCTGTGGGCGTGTTGTCTTATTCACCCCCGAGTAAGATAAGGTGTTTCGTAAAAGAGATCCTGTATGTGATTAAACTAACTACTTAATAAGTACTGTATAGTTGATATAATTGTTTGCAAGAGTGTGTGTGTTATATAATTTATTTGTTCATGGTAGATTCTGGGTCAAAATGTTTGGTGAATGTACAATGTATTGTGAGAGTTTGGGTGAAATTTGTAAGTTTAGAAACTAACTTTATTAGGCAGTGTTTTGTAGAGGGACAAGCTGTATAAGGCTTTACAGATGTGTGCTTTATCAAGCTTTGGTCAGGTGAGCATTTTCTAACTTGGGTCAGGTGTGAGCATTTTCAAGTTTCAGTCAGGTGTTAGTGTTATCAAGATTCAGCCAGGTAATTACCTAAGTCTAGTTTTGTTTACAATTATTAAATAGTTAATGAGCTCCAAAGCACCAGGAGGCTGTTTATAACAATAACAACAGTTGATTGGGAAGTTTTCGTGCTTGCAAACTGTTTAATAAATGTAACCAAAGCCGTTAAAGATTGAGGAAAGGTGTTCATGTTTGTAAGTACTTGTGTAACTGCTTCGTGAATCTGGCCCTTGGAATTCAAACTCTTGTAATAAACCATTTGTGAAGTGGGATTGTCAGGAGTGACAAACAGGGGCAATAGGTTGAATAGTCAGCATGGGACTTGATTTAGAGAGGCAACAGTGGACTGAGTTATGGATAGGCAGCAGGGTTTGAGTTATTGTTAGACAACATCATGATACTATGGTAAATGATGGAATATTTTTAGGAACATATTGTTTGAGGTCTTTATATGAATGCAGTGTGGTAGGCTAGTCTCTGTGGGGGTTAGTATCAGTCTTAGTATCACTGCCTCTAATGAAAATACAGGAAAGAAAGAAAGTTTATGCATCCATTGATGGGTAGTGTTTATGATACATATGCTGCAACAAAATGCCTACATTATATTTAATTTGTTTAGTATATTATAGAAATGTATGAACCAGTAAGAGGATGATAGTTCATGGCTGGGGCATCTCGGAGGCAGTTTTGGGTGGTGAAATTGAGCAGAGATTTTAGTAATTACCTAAGTGTTGTTACAGGATGAGAGCTATACTCGTGGTGTCCCATCTTCCCAGCACTCTTTGTTGTATAACGCTTTGAAAGTACGGACAGGTTTTGGCTTCTACCACCTGCTGTAGTGCCTTTATAATTGTGTTATAAGATGTTCTTAAAAATGTGGTGGCCATTTATTATTTAAACTTTTGTTGTCAGTCATAGGTAACACTTTTACAGTTTGCTTAATTTGTTTATTGTGGTTTGTGGTTTATTGTACTGAGTAAATATTTATATTATGTTATGAAAATTATATTGAATTAATATATGCAGTTATTTATCAATTTTTATATACTGTACAGTACTCTGAAGTCTTTTTTGAGCTCTTGCATTTTCCATTCATTATTTAATAACTTTTATTAAAAATATTAGAATACAGTAATTGCTATTTATGGTTGTTTTAGAATATATTTGACTGCATAGTTTGAAAACTAATAGGACTGTATATTAAGCAAATGTCTTTTTCCTTATTAGGGAGGTTCATGCAGGCATAATTCTCATAATGTGCTGTGAATGTTCACCAAACTCACACATTTTGAGTAGTGCTTTGTATGTGAGCTCGCTGCTTGTACCACTGACAGGCTTAGGACCGACACTGGTCCCTCAAGTCGCGCGCCCTGAGTCATGCACGCACACTAATACCACCTTGATGAGACGCATTGTCTGAGCATCTCTCTGTATGGAAACAGAATACATCAAGATTTATCTTCACAATTTTATGGTTTGCATGCTTGTACTTTTGCTTTGCTAAAGTACATTAACATGCATTTGAGAATTTTTAAATGACTAAGCCAATTCTTGCAAAAATAAAACAACTAATCTTGACTATATTTGAAGTAACAATTTTTTTCCATAATTTTATAGCAATTGGGAGATGGTGCTTGTGATTCTGTGCATTGTGGTTTGCTTATTAACTTGTGCATATTAAGAATACTACAGACATCGTTGCATTTCCACCATGTTGTGTGTGATGACATTCCTCGGAGGAAGCAGTGTGACCCTTCTACTTCAAACATGATACGTTGCTAACACTCTTTCCTCGGAGTGAGCAGTGTGTCCCATTTCCCATCACTTGATGTTTTCCAAATAGTGATTCCATGGATATTGTTGTGTTTCCCAACGAACAGTTGAGGGTGCCCTCCCTCTGTCCAGACTAGACCCATCAGCAGCAGTCACACATAGGACTCCTGTCATCAGTACCTCGGGTAAAGAACTTGACTTCATGCACCTTCTCACAGTCAGCCACTTTTCTCGCACGTCTTCACTAAAGTGTTGCAGTTTGCCTCATCTAACCAGTCTATTCTGACCTCCAAACCCTTGGCTTATTCACCTACTAACATCCTTATGCATTTCTCTTCCTCACTAAAGTATTGTAATTGGCCTCAATTAATTACTGTCTATTCTGACCCACAAACCCTTGACTTGTTCACTTGTTAACATCTTCTCATGTTCCTCTTCCTCAGTAAAGTATTGCAGTTTGCCTAGACTAACCTCAGTGTATTCTGACCTCCCCACCAGTTGTTCACTCACACGCTCACTCTTCGGCTTTATGTCTAGTCTCGCTCTTCTCATTACTGTATTTAATTATACCTGTCTTAAATTTGTTAGAACTTAGATGATGTTGCATATTTATTATTAAATGTTGAGGAGTTTTGACTGTATGATTTATTGTTTTGTTATATATTACTGTGTGCTCGATTTCCATTATAAATCGGTAGTTATTTATTGAGGAACAACATTTATTGTATATGTAGGCTTAATAGCACACTTTTATATTATTTCTATTCCATTTATTAGAATATATTCCAGTGTGGAGAATATCTTGCTCTGTTCAGAATGTCTTGCTCTGTACAGAATGCTGCAAGTGGTTGGACACCATTCCTTCACTCTATCCTCATATCCCAGCTCTTATCTTATTCTTATTTCTTTCCAAGTGCTATAAATATAAAGTCTTACTGGCTCAGCACATTCTCCGTGTAATTAGCTTACCTTATCTCTTTATAATTAGCTTTGCTTCTTTGTGTGATTTAATATGGGTTTTTAAAGATGAATTTCTTTTGTTTACAGATTTTGCTCAAATTTCTTTCTTGCAAATTCTAACTTTTCCTTTCTACAAATTTGTTTTTTCTTTGTTACATAAACATCTTACCCAGACTTTAATAATATAAGTTTTCAGTTGGAATGACTTGTTGTTTGCATTTGTGTACTTTAGTTTTTTATATCATCACTCATGCTCTCACATTTGGATGTGACTTGCATTAAATACCGGTAATAATTTTCTGCATATAATAGCTTATTTAGAATCTCTGCAGATGACCGTGAATCCCATTCTTACATAATACAGTAACTGTTGAGTTGTGGAATGCACATAGGGAGTAACCATTCCAACTCTTGCATGTTGACACTGCATGTCACCTCTCTTTTTTTTGGTCATGTCTTATTGCCCATTGGTGAGTGCAGTGCTTGTCTTGTTATCTGCCACTTGCTTCTCATAGAAAATTGCATAACACATTCACTTCCTAAGGTAAGTGTACATATGTACTGTTAGTACAGTACAATACTTCTAAATGCTGTAGTTGCAGTTGCTGTGTTTGACAGACACTGAAGCGTATCTAATCTTTCAGCTGTGCACTATTGAACCTTTAGATAGAGGTTTAATACTCCATCTATTTTGCTAGATTACAATGCCATGTATCATACACTTGAAGCTCTTAAATTGGAGGCTCCAGAGCCTTGCAATGGAATTTTAAAATCTTTTCACTTATAATACAGTACTTACATCCTTTTAGTTACAAAAGTCAGGCTCATGAGTAAGAAAAGCTTCTGTGTTAGAAAGACACTTGGATACTTTCTAAGGCACGATCCCTAAAGGTCACATTTGACAAGACTGTGACGGTCAGAATAGGGTGACATACAGAGTAGAGTGACGATAAAAGTTAACTCGAAAAACTCAAAGATTTTTCAAGTCTTACATGGTATCACAAGGACTTGAAAGTAGCATTCACACTCAGCCAGTTTGCCCATCTGGTTGCCACCCCTGCCTGCCATATTTTGAGAACATTAAGGAAAACTAGCACATAGGCATCAGGAACTTGTATCAGAAACTGACTTAACAGGTACAGCTGAGCATCTTGCTCATAAAGGAGCTTGTCATGTTGACTCAAAGCTTTATTACTAAGCTATAGCACTCGGATAATCCTAAAGGCAAATGTGAGAAGGAAATAAAAAATACAACAAACAGCAATATTAATGTGGAAAACTTACTTGAGCTGCAGAATTGTTGTCCAGGAACTGATGGAGACCCTTGACACCAGGGGGCACCCAGGATCCTGCCAGAAGAGCACCTTACCTGTAAAACAGCTGGCTAAGTGCAACACATTGACAGTACAGGCAGGAAATTTCAGGGCGGTAGTGGGTAGTGAAGGTTGTTTTAGACTGCCAGAAGGCCTGAGCATCAAGTTTGGGACATAACAACTCTGAGAAGAATGCCTTGAGAGTGGGGAACTTCCAAAGGTCATGTACTCAGTGATACACCTGTGGTCTGCTTATTTAAGGGTCTCATAGTACAGATGGTTTTGTTCTCAACTCACAGTTGGGGATCCCGGGTTCAGTTCCTGGGCAAGACAGAAATGTTTAGGCACGTTTCCTTTCACGTAATGTCTCTGTTTACCTAGCAGTAAATAGGTGCAACTGTTGTGGAGTTGCATCCTGGGAATGTTCAGAAGTTTAACCTTAGGGGGTACCTCAATACAAGCCTAAATTATATACATATATACACAGGCTTCTTGTTCCTAACAATGGGAATAAGTTGACCACACTCGAACCTCTGATAATAATTCTCTCAGAGTACCTATTGCACCTCTGCTTTTCAACGGGGGTATTCTGCCCATCCTGCCATGCCTTCTGGTCTCGTGTGATGTTATTTCTGTGTGTAGGTTTGGAACCAGTCCCTCTAATATATTCCATGTGTCAATTATTATTTATCTATCGTCTTCACTTGAGAACCAATAAATTAGATGGTTTATTGATTGGATTCTAGCAGTAAAGGATCTCTGCATGCTCTCCAGGTCAGCAATTTCTCTTTGAAAGGGTCTGTTATTATGCAACAATATTCCACTCTAAGAGTCGTATTTTGTTCGTTATTTTGTATAATAGTTAGTTGATCACTCTGTTATGGCTGGAATTAGATTCACTACTGTCTTCCTTCCTCCACTTATGTGATGAGATTATTTGATAAATTACTGGGTCATAATAGGTATACAAGTCATGAGAGCCTGGTAGACACAAGGTCTCTGGCAGTTGCTCCCCATAAGTCAGGTTAATTCAGAAGGAAATGTTTTGTCTACTCGGCGCTCTATTTCTTAAATCTTTCAAATGTGACCAAATAAGCAGCTTTCCCTGCATTAAATTATGGCATTATTTAGACTCCTTTGTATGAAACTGTGGTGAACTAATGATAAAATTTATTTCAGAAGATTGTAAGCTTTTTCAAATTACATTGTATCAAATTTTATATATTTGGTATGAATAATAAATATGAACAAAAGTTTGTAAACGGGGTTAATTCTATGTGTATTTTACAGGTAATGAGAGAGACATGGCTAAACAAGAAAAGTTCCTAGAATTAATTTCAAGCAACAGTACCAATTTGTCGGAGCTTCGGAAGCTCTCGTGGTCTGGTATTCCGCCCTCTGTTCGAGCTGTCACTTGGAGACTCCTTAACGTAAGTATGATGCAGAAAAAAGCATGTACTTTACTCTTGTTGTGGTACAACCCCTGCACTGTGCCCCTGTTTATAGTTGAGAGTGCCCTATTGTGCAAGTAAAATTGTTCACACTTTTTTCTGGGGTTGGGGGGAGCCCCGTCGGCTCCCCGGAGTTTATCCAGGCTGATATGCTAATGTCAGACTTTGGCATCAGTCATATGTATGGAGTTCTGTGGACCTACCGGGGACCACGAGCCAGAACCTGGCCCCCCTCAGAGAGGCATGGGGAGCAATGGCCTATAGAAACCCCCGTCTGGTTGGAAGCATTCTATGTCTGCCATTGACCGGGTCAGGCACCCAGAAAGGTAAGCGTCCCAAAACAAACCCCTATTCTGGTGAAGATTGCTACCAAGAGACGAACATGTGGATAGAACTCCCCAAAAGAAAACAAGCAAGCGAGCATGACGTCACGTGTCGCCGCACCGCTGTCTGCGCAGCTCCCCCCTCCCCAGGAGGGGGAAGGGGAAGCCCCAGACCCCTCACACCGGTTATCCCCCCCCCCCTTCAGTTCTAAGGCTGATGCCAAAGTCTGACATTAGCATATCAGCCTGGATAATCTCCGGGGAGCCTTGGGGTCTCGCCCAGAAAATGGCATTACATTACATTCATCGCTGGTTTTTTCTTTCTATTATTGTTAACATGAATTTCTTGATCACAGGAAAATAAAAAATTGACTTAATTTAGCCTTGGTGAAGCGAGGAAATGTCATGATGACATCACAATTTATGAGTTCATGGAGCAATTACTCTGTGAAGGTCATGTGTGCCAGGCATGGGGCAGGAATTGATTTGAAAATATTTTTACATATTTCAGTGTTTTTTCTCTCTCTCTCTAGGAATATATTCATTAGTCTGTCATTTGAGAAATTTCTATAATAAAATGTGTGGATCATGAAAATGCTCAAATATATTCATGTCACTAATATACATATCATACATTCATTGAACAATAAAACATACTACTTCTGGGGGGGGGGGTCTCCCTGAAGCTACTATCTGATGGTGTGCCAAACTACTAGGTGCCATCAGTCGCGGAGTGAAGCCCGCTTGAGCCCCGGCGCTCCCTCCCTTCCCCAGACAAATGGGAGGGGTCGTGTGAATGAAGGGAAGCAGACAAACAAGAGAAAGTTCCAAGACTATATAGCACTTGGAAGGGATCAGTATAAAAATTTGGAATGGAACTTGAACACCAACCTGCGTGAAGTGAGACCGTCACTCTACCGTCCAGTCCAAGTGGTTGGGCGGGAAGATGGGAAAAGGGTGAGGGGGAAGAGAGGGGAATGGGGGGGGGTAGGGGGAGAAACAAGACTCTCCCAGGAATCACTAGGCACTCTTTCTAGTACATTCATGTGCCAATAGGCTACTGTACATCTTAATAGTTTTGCTATTTGTCAAAACCCACAGGGGTACCTCCCGGCCAATGCTGAACGACGTGAGGATACTCTGAAGCGGAAACGGGAAGAATACTGG